AACAACAGCAACAACAGCAACAACAGCAACATCATCAGCACCAACAGCAGCAGATACAGTTACAACAACAATCACATCAGCTGCATCAACTTCAACAGCAGGTAATGCTCCAGCAACAACAACTACAGCAGCAGTACACAGAGTTGAACTCCAGGTCCAAGTCTCCACCCATCTTGAATGCTCCACCTCCTGGAGGCTTTGTTGGTGCGATGCATGGACAACAACAACAACACAACATTCCACCTACCTCGAAGCCAGTTGCGAACACACACAATGCCCCGGTCACGACTGGTCAGGCACAGCAGCAGCACTATGATCAGAATGGTATCAACGCGTCTATCCCACCACAACTCCTGTCATACCTCCAGCAACTCAACTTCAAGCCGGAGTTGTCTGTCATACTCAAGTCTGTGCCCAACTTCCTCAAGACAACGATGGACGTCTACAAGTACTTCAAGGGCATCGCATGCAACGACTACTTCCCCAAGATCCAGCAGCTCCCCTCAAAGACATCGTACGAAACGGAGAATGTCTATCTCATCCAGTTTGAGACGATGAGCGATCTGGAGATGTCCATCATCAATGCAAGCTACACTCATTCATTGCTCAATGTCATGAAGATTGTCAACGCGCCAGCAACCGCACATCCACAGTCACATTCCTCCCAACATTCACATCCAGTCAAATCACCATTGAATCCGCATTCTCAATCGTTTGAGCCGATCAGTGCACAGCAGTCCCCTCTGGTGACAGGTGTTGGATCCACGGGCGGTCTGTACCCGCACTACTCGCCACCAATCTCTAGAATGGGTTCGATTGGCTCGCCCACCTCTACCTCCACAACAACAGCATCAACGACAGGCGTGGAAGACAACAGCCCAGCATCATCAAAGTCCCAGCTGGTCTCTCCCAACACACTTCATTCTCTGTCTCAAATGTTGAACACGTTGGGCGACGAAGAGGTGCCTGGCTGGAATCAAAGATCATCATTCAGTGACATTCAGCGCATTGTGACGCCACCCGTCAACACACAGAATCCAGCGACGATCACGCCCTCTGCATCCTTTTTCCTGTCTGATTCGATGGCGCCAATTGCACCATCACCATCGCTGTCCTCCAACTCGAGTACCAATATGTTTGGCAATGGCAATGATCATTCCTCATTCTTCACATTCCCCAATTCACTTGGATTGTTCCCATCATCCATATTCCCTCCGACCAATTCTCCACAGCTTCAACAGCAAAAACAGCAACAGCAACAGCATATGCATCAACAACAACAACAACAGCAGCAACAACAGCAACAACATCTTGGCGACAATCATTCCCAAATGGTAAGTCAATTCAGACTCATAACAACGCTCGTTACTAACTCTGTTACACTAGTATTCATTCCTCAACAAGTACAAGTAAAGTTGAGAGTATAACATTGATTGGAACATGTTGACCAGAATATACCACCAACAATCAAGAATAACAGGATCACACAAGAGTGAAGCAGAGAGAACAAAGAAGTAATACAACATACATCCATCCACATCCATTAATTACAACTATTTGATACAATCCATCCACCATYCCATCATCTTCCAATTGAATTGATTGATTGATGTACATTTGTGATTTGTTTATATATGTATATATGTATATATATAATGTGTTATCCGGGATTATGACATCTTTGCCATATGTTTATCGTTATCATACTCCTTGAACACTGCTTTCTTCTTGGCCGTGGCTGACGGAGATGGTTGTGTCTCTTTCAGTTCCTTCTGTTGAGGCGACACCTGGAATTTGTATACCTTATTCTCATTCGACTTGTTGTTACCATTGTTATGTTGTTGTTGTTGGCCAGCTGCGGCTTGCTGCTGTTGCTGCTGTTGTTGCTGCTGTTGTTCATTCTTTTCCTTTTGATCTGGACCACCTGTCTGCCCTGAGATCATTCCAGATGGTGGCTTCTGATGTGGAGAGTTGACTTGAGGACCCTGACCTGCAGGCGAGTGTGGCATTACAAAGTGTTGTGACGAATTTCCATTTGGTTTACTTGGGTCTGAGGAGTTGGTTCATGCCATAGTAGTATGGCCAGGCGACAGTTAGGAGGTCGTGTTGTTATATACTGGCGCCGATCCAATCAATTACTTTGCACACCTACCTTTTGGCGAGTGATTGGCATGCATCATGTCGTACGACTGAACAACGGCATTCACGATGGAGTAGTAGCGCATCAGATGTAAAGGGATGCCCATGGCGCTGACGGGTGATGCGAATTGCTGTTCGAGCGATAGCAATGCCGATTGAGGTGATTGTTGCTGCTGTGGCTGCTTGTGATAGTCTTGAAAGAAGCGAGTGATGTGCTCGCGTGGTATTGACTCTTGGAATGATCGCGAGTCGGCGTACAATGACACGATCTTCATGTCGGGTGCAAAGTAGATAGCAAGAGAGCCCTCGATGTGCACGTGTATCGTGTCGTAGACCAATAGCATTCTTGCAATCTTCACATTGAAACAAGTCAGTCCATTTGGTAGATACTCAATGCTCTGGTCCTCGAACGTCAGCGATGTTGAAAGTAAGCCAGTGTCAAACGCTACCTTGAAGTATCTAGGCAGCAAAGAACATGGTATCTCTGTTTGTGTGAGCAAGGGTTTGTGATTGGAATGATCCCAAAGTCAAGGTGTGATCGATCATTGAATGATTGAGTGATTAGTATATGACGGTTACATAACGATCATTTCATTCACTTTCATACCAAATCTTCGTGTTGATGCATCGTCCACGGCAGCAATGTGCGGCTGTTGACGCATTGTATGTATAAATATGCCTCCAGGCATGAAGAACTCTCCAATGAAGGACATCCAGAACTCTGGCGAGTTGTCAGCAGGCCGACTATGATAGTAACCAGTGATCTTTGCAATTCGTTCAACTACATCCTTCTTCTGTTGTAGCATTCTTGCTTGAATCATTTGATGGTGTGAGTGTTGTTGTTGTTGCTGTTGTTGTTGCTGTTGCTGTTGCTGTTGTTGTTGTTGTTGTTGTTGTTGTAGGGCAGTACCAGTAGGGGCACCACCAGGTCCGCCACCACCACCGCCAAGGCCACCGCCAATTGAAGCGGCAGGATGTTGCTGAGGTTGTTGTGTATTCATCATTATCATTATTATTTGTAAAATATTATTATTATTATCATATCATCATCATCATCATCATTGTTATATCAACATCATTATCTCTCTCTCTCTTGCTTTTATAACAACTAATAGGCAGGCATTAAGATGAATGAATGAATGTTAATGTATTGCACACCAATAACAACAACAAGTTGTGGAGATGTCTGTTGGGTGGGGTGATGATAAACAAACAAACAAACACACGCGACCCCCCAATCATTGAGCTAGCCCGTCAAGCAAAACTGTGGGTGCTTATTGCTAATGCGCGCATTTGTAAATCTAAGTCCGATCGGACTCTGCTTGCCCTGTCCATCCCATGATGTTGATCTAACCCTACAACAATGGCCAAACAATTGTAATAAGGTCATATTTGCTTCTATATCTATTTATATAATATATATATATTATTTATAAATATGATTGATTGATTGTTGTTTGTTTGATTGAATGATTGATTGATTGGATTGATAGATTGTGGAAAAGAGATAAAGAAGGAAGATAGTTGAGTGATAGAGTGATTGAGTGATTGGATTAAATGAAAGAACGTGTGTTGGACCCAATGAGCGAGGGCCTATGTTGATTGATTGTGATTGAGTTGATGGTAATGTGTGTGTCTGTGTCTGTGATTGGACTGATTGATCCCAGACTTGTGACTTATTTCCATGTTATTAGTTGTTGATGATGGATTATAATAGCAATCATACACTTGTAGTCGATGGTTGTAGTAGTGGATTAGTTGGTTGTTTGGTTGGTGCGTATGGGATGAATGAATGAATGAATGAATGTTGAGAGTAGTAGACCGTTGTTGATGTCTACTGCTGCTGCTGGGGATGTTGTTGCACTGTTCATTTCTTTGGTTTCTGTTGCTTATTTCTTGGTGGCGTCAGTGTTCTACTGTTACTGTCTGCAATCGCCTTCTTCTTGTCTGAAGGTTTCAGTATCTGGAAGGAGCACATCAGGGTCTCGTCGACACCCATCATCGCGCCGGCATTATCAAACTCGCCAAAGTAGTTGGGAGCGGAAAATAATGTTACAAGTTGTCTCTTTGCAAAGAACTCATATCCATCCTCAACAACCTATATCATGCGTACGTTCGCCAGCGTCAAGGATTGCGATTGTAAAAGTTAGTTAATCAATCAAACTTGATGGATATATCGGGAAGGTGGGATCATTCCACCCCACCCACGACATTAATAACAACTTACCTGATGAGCTCTGCAAATCAGATCAAGATCATGCTTCCTGAGGAATGTTTCGACAACATCTGGACCGAATATATAGGAGACACCACGGTCGTTGTCTTCCCAGCCTTGGATGGACTTCTCGGGGTCGGCCCAGAGAAGGTCGCAGAGCAGTCCGTTGTCGGGAACGACGGTTGGACGCACGATACGCTTGATCTGCTCCATGGACTTGAGGTCGGGCGACAGACCGCCGTGCATACAGAAGATCTTCTCGTCGATGATGGCGGCCACGGGCAGACAGTTGAAGCAGTCGGTGAAGGCCTTCCAGAGCTTGGTGTTGTAGCGGCGCTTGCACTCGTCGTAAAAGCCGTAGATACGGTTGATAGAGGCGCACTCGTGGTTGCCACGCAGGATGAAGAAGTTCTCGGGGTACTTGATCTTGTAGGCCAGCAGCAGACAGATGGTCTCGAGCGACTGCTTGCCACGGTCGACGTAGTCGCCCAGGAACAGGTAGTTGGACTGGGGTGGGCAGGCCACCGTACTCAAACAGACGCAACAGATCGTAGTACTGTCCATGTATGTCTCCACAGATCTTGATCGGTGCTTCCAACTCCAACAATATCGGCTGATTAATGAATATCTCTGTAGCCTGCACTGTCAAATATCTAATCTCTTCCTCTCTCAAATCAACATGCTTTCCAGGCTTTGAAGTTCTCGGTTCCAATAATCTTTCAATAATTGAATCTAAATCTATCTCCATTTTTTTTTTCTTTCTTATCTGTCTCTATATATATGTATTATCTGTATCTTTTTATCTGTATCTTTGTATCTGTATCTTTGTATCTGTAGTATATATGTTACCTGTACCCTGTGATATATGTAATATATATATATATATGATGTAAATGAATCACGTGTGCAATCAATCAATCAATCAATCGATATGATATGATATGACGGATTTGGTACTACAAAGATATAAAAAGAGAGGCGAGCGATGAATGAAATGAGTGTAAGTAGTCATGCATGCATGATAGAGAGTGGAGTTGTTTGATTTGGGGGATCATGGCAAACACTTGTGTGAGTGTTTTGACTTGTAAAAAACAAAAAAAATACCAAAAATATTTTCTGATAAATGACTGTTTCAGTTGTTGATGAAGATGTGAGGTGAGTGTGTTTAATTGTCAACGAATGGACATGGAAGGAAGGACTGGACACGTGTTTGGAATTCCAGTTTGACTGGATTAATCAAATATTATTATCTCTATCTCTCGTTTATTAATTTAATAAATAAGGTTTGATTATGACAAAAAAGTTGGTGTGATTGATCATTTGGAGTGAGTTTCCAAAGAACATTGTGTTGAATAAACCATTGGTATCGTTAAGGGTTGTATACAAGATATAACGTAGTATATATATAAAAATATTTAAGGAAGTTGTAGTGTTGATGGATGAATGTTTGATTGAATGGCGTCGAAATATGAATGATTGATTGATTGATGTTGGTGTTGATTGATTGATATTAGTCCTCAACAGTTATTCCTTTGTATGTGTACTTCCATGTGCTTGCTCCACCATATGATGCCAAGAGATGTTCGGCTGGGATGTATTCAATGAGTTGTTTGGACTTTACAAAGTTGACTTTGCCAACAGTGATTGGGTCCATCCAATGCTTGATAATGTTCCAAATTCCAGTGAATATCCATGGTGCATTAACAATCAAACACTTGTTCAGTGATTCTGGATAATACTTTTGGAACATATCCACGATAAACTTGACAAGTTCATAATCCTACATTGCCAGAGAGTCAGTCATGGTCTCGTTGTCAATCATTCTTATACATACCATGTTCTTTGTGCTAAAGCTAGTCATATCGAATATAAGAGTACATGTTTCAATTCCTGGTGGGAGCAATGCTTTGCCCTTCTCCATGAAGTAGACACAATAGCGATGTGCCTCCTGGATGTCGCGCTGTGAGCTATCGTGTTTCCTCGTTCTGATGATACACACTGGTCTTCCACCATTGTCCCAGCCATAGAAGAAACTCTTTCCAGTCTTTAGCTCATTCTCCACACTCTCTTCTGTGATCTTCTCCACTCCAATCTCTTGGAATGTTGCCCTGAATACCAGAGCATCGAGCAACATCTTGTATGCATCATTCAGTACCCATTTCCTGGCTCTCAAGAATCTTTATAAAGTGTGTCAGTCAGTCAGTCAGTCAGTCCAACATGTTAAGATGGTGCACATTTGTCATACCTAAGAATCATAGAGTCATCCAACTTGCTTATCTCTTCCTGAATTACTGGATCAGTGTTCTCAGCGAGCATCTTCCTGACCTCAGCAAGCATCTTCTCCTGATCCGATGACAGGTTACCAACGAATCCACTCATTCTTTATGTATGTTGTATCGATTATCTCTTCTTTGTATTAATAATTATTGGTTGATTCTGTATTTAAGAGGTCAAAGAGTAAGTCAATGAGTCTTTGTCTTCACTTTGTGTTCTGTTGATCAACTGAATGAATGAGTGAATGAGCGAATGTATGAATGGATGAATAAACAAACAAATAAGTGAAGAGATAATATTGATGAATATATCAAGTAAATAGAGGTTTGTTTGTTTGTTTGTTTAGGTGAACATGTCAGGCCAGTCAGTCAAAGGCAACGCGTCAGACATAGATTGTCGCCGCCGTATACCCCAACCACGACATGTTGTTGGTGGTGTGTGGGTTCAACAACTACCAACAACAAACACAATCCTTCCATCTGCGAAACCATCTACATTCATCTGTTTGTCTTTGGTGTATGTATGTGTGTGTGTATGTATGTGCGTGTATTCTTTCCACCAACAAACAAACAAACAACAACCCTTATCTTATCTCAAGAGAGACGAGATGACAGCGTGATATAGTTGTTATCTGTTTGTATCTATCTCTATCTATCTATCTATCTACGTTGGGTGAGTCTGGTGTATGTATTATATACCTTAAGTTTGTTTAGGCTCTCTCTTTAATATTTGTATTAGTTAAGTTATAATATCTTTTATCTTTTATCTTTTATCTGTTTGGTTTGTTAATATAATAAATGAATCGCTAGTAATCAATTGGATCTGATGTTTGATGTTATTGTTGATTGTGTACATGTACAAGACAGAGACAATGATCTCATCCCTTAAGTAAGTAAACAAGGGTGTTCCCTTCACTCGCAATGAGATGGGGTGCTATGATGAAAGGATGACGGGAGAGTTGGGGCATGCCTGCCAAGTGTGCAAGTGCATAGTGCGTCCTAATGACAAAGTGTTGTGTGACCAGGCATTAGGTGAATGAAAATCCAAGTGAAGTCACCCCCAACGATCATTACCTTACCTTGGGACCGCCCCTTGGACGATCACCTTGTGCAACTTGATGATCCAAGAAACTCTATTTCGAGAGAGACTCGTGTTTTACAATTATCTCCCCATCAAACTGTTTCCAATTTCTCTCCATATCATGGTGTCAAATATATTGATCGGTCAATCAATCAATGACAATGATTTATTAATTATTTATACAAATAATAATAATAATACTAACTTATTATTACTGTTATTGTTACTATTGTGTGACAACTTGTGATTGATCACGAGCAGTGATTGAATGTGCAACATTGCCCTTGCGGAACTTGTATACATCGATACCCTTGGACTTCTTCTTCTCGGTCTCCATGTTGTTGACCTCGACCACGGTTGTCTTGCCTCTCTTGCTCTTGATCACAGCGTAGGCGACACCAGCAGCAGCACCAACAACAACAGCACTTCCACCAATAGCAATACCAATAATGGCACCAGTTGACAAAGCAGAACCGGCAGCAGCAGTAGCTGGGATGGCAGCAGCATCAGCACCCAAGAACATATGGCTGAATGAGTCATAAGTCATATCACTGAACTCTCCAAGTGTCACTAATAATTGATTGAGTAGCATGATGTATTAATATTGATGTCAAAAAGTGTAATCGTTATTTGAACAAATACATACTCCTTGGCATATCAGCATTGGGGAATGAGACAATGGGGTCGACAGCTTGGGCGGCGTAGAGCTTGCGACTGGATGAGGGCGAGGGTCCATCACCAAAATCAAGGTGTACATCTGGTAGGTTGATCTTGGAGTTCACTTGATTAATCTGATTGACACTGGCTTGCCAAATTGCAAAGACCTTTTGGTACTCATCACTTGTGTACTTCTTTCCATAGGCATCAGCCCAAATCTGGAAAGTCTCAGCATCAGGTGTATAAGTAGTTGCCGATGCAAACAATAAAAATGTAGTATATAATACAATAATTGTTGGGAATAAATATTTCATTGTGGATTTTTGTGATATTATTTAAATAGTGGAAATAGTAATACAAGTGTGATATATATTATTTATCTTACAGAGTTATACAAATATAAATACAATATTAATTTAGAATGGAAGTTGAATAAAGAGGTTGTATAAATAATAATGATTTGGGTTGATTGAGAAGGGATGATGAGTGAGGCTTCGACCATTCATCCCATCGATTTAATCTGAAAACAGGAGGTATTACTAACAGCAACAACAACTGGTAATCACACTCATATTAATATTAATAATCAAAGATGATGGTGAATAACCGACTTTAATCTAAAGTAGCTTCTGTCTCAAAGTCTTTGGGTTCATCTTGCCCACATTGTTTGAAGGGGGATGGCTCATTGTATACACTGAGATGAGTTGTGTAAGTTTACTTTACTTTAGATTTCGATCTCAGACTATGTAGTAGACTCGGAAACAACTATCCCAACAGCCACAAAGCGTGGCATCCGTTCATTGAAACAACGAGGTAATAATGGGTGGTAATGGTGTTTCGATCGAACTCAAAGCGGGGTTGATGGGTAAGTTGGTGGCATCAATTCCTACTCGGACAATATTCATTGGTTGGTCAGTTGACAATCCAACCAAAATGGGTCTAGTGAGGGTGCGAGGTTGTTTGAGGGTGAAGGCTCATTTTGGTTCACAAAAAAAACAATCAAAAAATAGATGGTCCAAGAAAAAACTGGAGTTCGTGAATGTAGAGTATTTGATTGATTGAATGGTAGTTAATAACTACTTGTTATTGAGGTTGGTTGGGTATGTGTAAGGTATGTGTGTTCAAATTACATAATCAATGATCAAAGGAGAGTGCGGACCGACTTGTCTTGGTCACGGAATGTCAAACAAAGTTGTAGCCCGACAATTTATATCACCGAACATGGAACCATGTCATGATTCCATTCTATAGAATGACTTGAGTTACATCAAGGTCAAGTCGATAAAGACTACCTAACCCAACATCAACAACAATATGTATGACATATCTAGATAACAAGCAATTTATACTTTGACCAACTTTGGGTTTGAGTATGGCTCTTCAACTTAATGATCTTGGGCCTAAAGAGATATTTTGTTTGTTGTCTGGACCCGAGTAATTACTTGAATATCTCTCTTCAACCTTGAGAATGCTTGCCCATTATCACATTCATTCACCTACAGACACACTTTGAGTTTGGAACATCATCACCAACATCATCATCATCATCACCTCAGCAGCACTCTATCTATCAATTCAATCAAAGTTGTACATGTGTGCAATCCGAAGGTCAATCCATCCACATGACCTTACCTGACTAATAATAGCCATGTAGGCCATCCCTTCTCTGACTGACTGTTCGACCAACAAACGCATCTACGGACAAGACTATATATAAGAGTGCAACAGACACGGTCCAATCAATCAATCAATCAATCAAACATAGAATGTTCAACAACAAATTAGTACTTAGCACTGTTGTCGTCTTGTGCTTGTTCGCAGGCTGGACAAGTGCAGCATGCACAAACGGCATGGCAACATCAATCAGCCAATATAACATCACCTTTACATTTGACAAAGCTTACAAGTGTGGCACATTCGCCAATGGCGACTACTGGGTGATCACCAACGGCTCATACGTCACCATCAAGACCATCACACCAGCCTTCACTGGTCAGTACCATGGCTGGCAGGCCAATCCCTCGTCACCCTCCCAACAAGGCTTTGATAAGGACATCGAGGGCTTCAACACTGCCCTCGTCCCCGCCCTTCCCTACAAGGCCGCCGCCAACACCTCGGTCGTCAAGACAATCTCGTTGCTGGACGCCAATCGCTGTGATGGCCACTACGGCTGTCTGTTGACCGCTGCCGTGCTCACCGTGCTGAGCCAGGCACCGCCCGCCAACACCTTCCGTCCATGCTACTATGGCAACGTCAAGAAGCTGTACTCGGCCAACAACCTGCGCACCAACCTGCTGCCCAATCTCACCATCCCTGCCGACACACCAACCGTCGCCTACTTTGCCAACCGCTACCAACGTGTTCAGCTTGACCACTACAACTCGTGGGCAGGCCAGTACCTCCACCCCCACCTCAACATGGCCACCTACGGTGCTGACGTCGCCAGTGATTCTGGCGACTGTGGCGCATTCCTTACACTCAACTTCCCCTTAACCGAGAAGAAGAAGGTTCTCATCCCATTCCTGCAGGCTGGACTCGACTACGCGGGCATGCTATTCGCTGGCGTGACGTGGCAGGCTGACGGCGGCCACATGTCAGGTCGCAAGATGCCCATCGCTCTTGCCGCCATCATGCTCAACGACTCGGCCATCTACAACAAGGTGTCGACCGCCCCACTCAACACCTTTGGCGAGGATGGCCAAGTATACTGGAGCACCAATGCCAGCCGCGCACTCTGGGGCTCTGCAGGCTGCAACTTTGACGACTACTGGACCAACCAACTGAGCACCGATCACAGCGACGGCCAGAAGGACTGCCGCGACCCATACGGCTACATCGACGGTGGTGTCCCCGCCGACAATTACCAGATGTGCTGCACATCCAACACATGGAAGACCACCGCTCTCACCGTGCGTCTGATCCCCACTCTCCAATGTGCATTCAACTATGATGTGTTCCTTCAGTACGTCGATCGCTGGGTGACCTTTGGCGCATGGACCCTTCCCGACCCATACACTGGCCGTGCTCCAGGTGGAGTTGTGGGTACACCCAGTCGTTATCCATCACTACATGGTACCGGTGCCGACTCTGGCTACTACTCATCAGACTTCTCGGCCAGCATGTGGACTACCCATCGCAGCAGTGCACCATCCATCACATGTCCAAGAGCTCTCTAACTCTTCAATCACCTGTAGTTGTTTATTTTAATATTATTGCAACACACTCGATCAATCGATCAATCAATCAAATAAACTATAAACAAAAATCAATCAATCAATCATACTTAAACTTTATCATTACTAACCTAAAGTGGAAAAGCTTGGATCGATACCGTTGTTGGTATTGTCGTAGATACTCTCATTGATATTGTTGTTGTTGATGTTAATCAATGGCTGATGTTCAGGATGTTTATGACGACCACACCATAGTTTAGACTTGATCCATTCGAAGTCACCTCTGATCACCACACCATAAGGGATGTTGTCCATTGTATCCAGTGATTTTCTTCCAATCATAAAGGTAAAGGCCAATGTCGAAGGAATGATCTCGAACAATACATAGTATGGCATGTCAAAGACTGTCTCCCAATGTGCATTCGGTGCGAATCCACCGTAGAATGTAAGACCACATCTTGCTGCGTAACCAAATATTGCGAGGATCATAACAATAAAGAAGTTCCTCCTCTTTCGTTTCTTCAACGCCTGATCACCAGAATAGACATCCCTCTTTTTCCAGTATGAGGAGTAAACAACTCTTGTGGGATTGAGATTGGATTGGCATTTGCATTGGAGGGTGGATATTAGAATGAATTCATGTTCGGTTCCGAGCAATTGATTGATTTGACTTACATAAGTACAATTAGATTGATTATTACACAGAAGTAGATCACTCCCAAGAATATTTGGATGACCTCTCCCCAAAGGGTCATTGACGTTGCCACCAAACTATCCCCCTCTGGCTGTGGAGTGATGAAATCAAACAAGAAGCAAATTGATCCAATGAGATAGACGGCAATGTTTCCATAAACATAGAGTCTGATTTGAATGATCACTACCCGTTTAACCGGTAAATGGTCCTCCAATGTAAATGCTCTACATTCATAAGATTGATTGGTTAATGAGCTCAGTACTTGGGCCTGATGTAAGATTGTACATACCCCATAAGTAGCATATTTGTGCAGGATGAAAGGAAGAAGAAGGAAGGCAGGGCACCGAATAGGTCGTTCAATTGGTCTGGCAAACCATTCTTTGATACATCCTCCATCAGTTGGAGTTGTAGGATAACCCAGATGATTCGTCCAATGCATCCTAGTATCTGAGAGATAAAGAATTGACTGGTCCTCCAACTTAGTGTTCTGGGTTTGTCAAAGCTCCTATTAAATAGGCTTTGTAACTCATATTTAGCCAATGCCAAATACAATACGCCCAGGACTATTTTAGACCATCCATTCTCCTTATCATTCGGGATGAACTCATTAAACAATCTGGTTATTGCCCACATTGTTTGTTGTGTTATTATATATGTATGTATGTATAAGTATGTATTGAGAGGAGTTGAGTTGAGTTGAGTAGTTTTGTGTTGGTTTGACATGCAAGCAGCTATTGATCATTTCATACTCGAAAGTCTAAGTTTGGAAACCTTTTGCAAGGTGCGGCTCGGGATTTTTTTATCTCGAAACGGTAATCATTCATTGGAACTTTCTTTGCTATTCCGGTTTTGATCACCCAATCAATAATGGAGTGGAGGTCCCATTTCTAATTCGATCAGAAGCTTCAAGCTTACCTTATAAGTTATAAATATATCATTCAAACTTCTCAAATCAAAGTCATAGTTATAGTTTGAGTAAATATATATATATATTATTGTTTTACTACATTCACATTACTACTACTACCTTATTATTATTATTATTATAAGTATGATTGGTGAGTATGAAATATTGAATGAATGAATTCAAGAGTGAGAGAACAAAATAATGTAGTTCAAGGTGCACTTGGGGAATGAAACACACAACAATAAAGTAGTTCATTCACTCAAACACACACTTTTTTCAAAGTTCGTTGTTGTTTGAGACGTTTAAGCCCAAGTATGGTGTTGTGGGTGAATGGAGTGAAGCCAATGGGTCATTTATTCATTCTCAAACACAACAACCAACAACATAACAACATACTTTATTTATTATTACGTACTCATACAACATACCTATATACATACATACATATCATATATATATATTTAAATACATATTATATATATATATATATTTATTATAGTTTGATTGTATTGCATTGCATTGCATTTACAAACCAATGTTGAGTGTAGATTTGATTAGAAAACAGGCCCAACAGCCTCAACAACAACCAACTTACAAGTCAACATTGAGGAATGATAATCAGTTGTCAACAGCAACACCAAGTATAATGGCAGAACAACAGGAGAATCCAAAAGATACCATCGCCGCCGATATTATCAATGGCAGTAGTAGCAGTGCCAGCGTCAGCAATGGCGGCGGTGGCGTAGGTAGCGCCACAATCAATAATAACAATAGTATTAGTAGTAGTAGCACAATAAGAAGTGGCGGCGGCAACAACAATAATAACATTAGTGGTGTTAACAGCTCGAGTGACGCTAGCGCCGTGGCCAGACCCTTGCTCGATACATCAAATGTAACACAAAGGAATGGTCATGGCCAACCTCTACAGCAACAGCAACAGCAACATCAACAAGTATATAGCAAGCCATTATTACAGAACTTATCATCAATTGTTCAATATGTTAATAGTTCAGGTGGCAACAACACAAGAGGCGCGAATAGTACGAATGGTAGCAGTGCTTCAGGCAACAGCAACACGACTTCAACATCATCTACAATGGGCAATAACAGTGAACATAAGAAGGGCACGCCATACTGGTGCTGGCTGCTCAAGGAGTACATACGATTGGGACATGCCAAGAGCATGAACAGGGTCATCAAGGTGCTGGACAACATCGAGCCCTATCCATTCTACTGTCGCGACAATATCTACAACGTCGATCTCATGGATCGCACTAGTTCGACGAGTGGCGACGGCGGCGACGGCGTGCACGACCTCTTTGAGAACGACCGATACATATACAGCTTCGAGTCCAAGCTTGTGCAGCCGAGTGGCGTGCGCACATCATTCCCCTTTATCTACATACCCAACCTGCTTCGTCAGCGCAGCGACCTCTTTCAATGCTTCAACAAGAACTTCTCCTTCAGCAACATCCTCTATGGCCTGAGCACGGCCAACATCGACTCCCTTCTCCAAGCAAAGTATGTTTGTTCGACGGCGACACTCACACGCAAGACATGTGCATGGACTAACCTTCGACTCTCGCCATGAACCCAACAACACAAAAGGTTTGTACCAATACCAAAGTCATCACCAATTGTACCATTCCTATTATGTATCGTTTACTTGAAGCTTTGCGTGTCAAAGGGAGAGGGCCTGCGCGCGATAATAGACGCATTGGCCGACTGCAAGAACAAGAGTCACTTGATGCCCTCGTATGACTACCCGGCCATCCCACTCGAATCCCTGCTAAATGCAATGCTGCTTGGACATGTGCGCTTCATCGATTGGGACATCAACACTGGCGAGCTGCTCAAGACAGAGGTGTACTTCAACGAGCTGTTTGAGATACTCTACTTGACAGGTCGCGAGTATCTGCCGGCGCCGCCCAAGCAGGCCGGAGTGAACGCGCCCACGCCCGCGCAGACGTCCAAGCTGCCGACGCTGACCACGCCCGCCGAGGACTACCACTTCAAAGCGATCGACATCTATCTGCACGACAGCAGGAAGATCGTGTTCTACAACATCCGCTACCTGTCCAGTCGCAAGGGCTCGTTCAAGCCCTCGATCTGGTCGCCGTACAACCTCCGCGTGCTCCTCGACTGTACATTATACCACCTCGATCTCTACGCCGAGGCCAAGGACAACTCGACCATGCAAGAGATCCTCGTTGTCCTAGAGGCATGTCTCAGGTTGTCACTTGGTTGGGTGACCACTGTCACTGGCATACATTCAGAGAAACCAATCAACAGCGCGACAACACATCAGCAACAGCAACAGCAGAGTGAGATTTATTGGTGGACGAACAATCAGGATGAGCTTGACATAACAGTGAAGCTTTGGATTGGAGTCATCGAGCGCATCATGACAGAGATGACCGGTCAGCAGGCTGAGAAGCTATTGCTCATCGGACTGATATGGCTGGGAATGACTGTCTCCCTCTGCAACGATGACCCCGTCGACCAAGCCCACGAAGAGGCCAGCTCATCATCCTATCCCCTGTTTATAAAGTTCATCAACAAGTACCCTGACATGCTAAGGTAAGTCCTCAAGGCCAAGCCCCCATGACTGACTGGCTAACTAACTGACACACACTACAGCGACATCAACAAGTCAACATTGTTAATCAAGTCAATTGGATTTGCAATGACTGGAGTGCATACTATTGAGCAGACTGTGGAGTTGGTCAATGTGATGACGTCATTGTGGGACAATCCATTGCAACAACCAAACCTCCCGCCATCGATGGACAATGCCTGTCTGGTCTTCAAGACCATCCAGATGGTCTTCAACTCCAAATTCAAACCTGAACATTTCCCCAACCAACTAGCCATGGAGAATGCCATCATAGACTGGACCAAAGTCATTTGTGATGAGACCAACAACTCATTCTACAACTCTAATCAAAGTATGTTTGTTTGATTGGTTGACCTCACTCACTCATTGAACGAATGACTGACTGACAACTTGTTTAGACTCTAGATACCTTAGCACATTTGTTGGATCAGCGATCATTGATACTCTGCAGAGTAGTAAATGTAAATTTATACCGGCCAACTTCAAGGATCTCATGATGGAACAGATACAGGAGATATTCAACACGTCAATCAATCAGATCAATCGCATGTCCAAGCATCAAAGGATTGGTATTGCCACATCCTATTGTTTGAGCAAGATTGAGCCTTTCAAGGACAAAGAGGCGTGTCGTGTAAGTCCACTCATACTTCCTCACTCACTCAGTCAACATCAACAACTAATACCAATCATTTATTCACTCAACAGGATATACTAAAGATCATCTTGGATACATTGTTGGACGAAGTCCTAGGCATCAATGGATGCTTGAACGAATGGTTGGAGAAGCCATCAGACATAAGCAATCTTGTGATTAAGAAGGTATGTACCATCCTCCTCCACCCACTCAGACATACCTAACACACCATCCAACCAATCAATCATTATAGATTGAGAGCCACAAGAGTGCACCTATATTCACGGCACTGCCATCATATGTACAAACGATTATAACACTTATATTATTCCTCAAGGACAATGACATCAACAAGCAGCTGTTGCTAAGGCTGTCTGACTTTTCATACACGCTCAACGAGCTATGGTACCACTTCACTCGCGACACAACACACGCATTCCCCAAGGCCTCGATACAGCGCACGCTCACACCAACCTTTACTGGCATCGTTCGATGTCTTTCGTTCCTGTTCACCGACACGGCTAAGGTGCTGACACCCATCGACAGCACCATGGCGCTGGAGGTCTTTAGCCAGATTGGCTTCATCGAGGACAACATCCCCATCATCAACCTGGCCATTCGCTCACTGGCCGACAACATTGCCACATCTGAATGCGCCATCACGCGAGTCGTTGACAAGATGCCAATCCATCTCACCGTCCAGAAGGACGACCCGATCGCCTGCTCCAAGGCCGTCATCTATCTGAATGCGCTCGAGAGGCTCATCACCAAGGTGTCGCGAAGTGCCATCACCGATCACATAGTTCCCAACCTCTTTGCATTCATGGAGTATCCCAATGAGAAGCTCAACAAACTCTCCCATTCAATCCTAAGCCAGCTGTTCACCATTCGCGACCTTGAGCTGACAATGATGTTGGTACCACAGTACATGGATCATGCTTTAAAGGTACGTAACCTGCGATCACCTATCACTCACCTTATTCACTCACTAATCAAATCGATCAATCAATCAAACAAATAGTCATATCCAACATATACCAAGGCATCCTCATTGTTTGCAGTGATGGTTAGCATCATTGAGAATAACTCACCAACCAACCCGGTTGTACTTTACTCGACCAAACTCATCATTGATTCGATCAACGATATGATGCCACAGGACAAGCAGAAGCTGTCACTGAGTACGCCAGCCAGTACTATGGTACACTTGTTGTTCTCATTGCTTCAATTCATTGATGTACAGATCCTGGAGATAGTGCTTAGTGACATTAGACAGATATTGATCAAGGCGCCCAACTTCAAGATTCGTTCGGAGATCTGCTCCAACCTGTTGTCCGAGATCACTGGCAATCTGGAGAACTCCAAGAAGAACATCTGTCTGTCTTGGTACCTTCGTCTGATCAAAGAGATTGAGCAATCAACAACAATGTTTGCCAACAACAGTGGATATGATCACTTGGTGTAATGTAGCGATGGACGCGACAAGATATAATGTGTATAAAATGGTGTGACTTGGGTCGCACTATTATTCAATCAATTACCATCTTTACTTTAATTTATTTAAATAATATTGAGCTGGAAGAGGACAGAATCTTTGAACATATATCGAAATGGGTATACTTGTCCATGTTGACAAATCCACATAACTCTTCAATACTTTCATCAATGAATAGTAGATGGTTGGAATCAATATGTCTTATTGATATACGGTTATAAGCAACATGGAAACATGTTAGTTGTGCCAATACCCTAATGTCAATGGTACTTTTACAACCTCCATATCCATATTTTATCGTAAACTTCTTGATTCTGGATGATGGCCAATTGTCCAATGTGATGTTAACTTTGGATTCAGCAATACCAAGTGTTTCCAAATTAGGTAGCAAATTCCTAATTGCACTCCAATCATATTCTTCCAGTGTCTTGTCAATGAAGAATTTGGTGATTGATGAAGGAAAGTCCAATGTCTTGGGAATGTCTAGTCCTATGATATCAAGCTGATGAGGATTGATTGAAATATTATCCAATGTTGTTGGATAACGATAAAATTTAAACTCTCCATATGTTTCCAGACTTTGTAGGTTGGTTGGTAGTATCACATTCAAGGATTGATTGTCACCTCTGACGTTTCGCAGGGAGATGCGAAGGTCTGTGACACTTGGTGGTATCTTGCCAACCTTGAACTCTTCAGATCTCCACAGTCGATATCGCATTTCAAGTGTTATGAGCTTGGTGCACACTCCAACAATAGATTCAATGTTGTTTGGTTCAGCATCCTCATAACATAGAACATTAAGATACTCCAATGAATCAGGTAGCTCATAGAGTTTGGCATCAAACTCTTCGTCCTCATTTGAGTATATCAGTCGCTTCACATGTCTGGGTACAATTGACCCAGTTATAGTATATCCAGTGAGAGTGAGTTTAGTCACTGATGATGGTATTGTAGTTGGAGTCAACGTTCCAAATGAGTCGAGCAATTTGAGTGATGTCAATGAAGATGGGAGTGACCCTTCCTCAATGTTGATGACACCATCACGATGGTCCAACTCTATAGATAGGGTCTTGAGGTTGTTGGGCAGCACGCCTGGAACAAGACTCTTCCTGAGTCCTCCCAACTTTAAAGTGTGCAATGATTCTAGATGAAGGAATGATCCCACCGTTGGCTCAAGATCATGTGTCGTCTTGAAATACTCGAACTGTGAAGGAGGGATGCGACTTAGCCACTCATCATCGATGACTTTACGATTATCATGATTGTAGATCAATCGTTTGGTGCGTGCTGTCAATGTGTATTTGGTGAACTTGCCAGACAGCTGCATGTATAGTTGACAATGCGCACTTGAAAGAACTGATTGACGCATCATTGGCAGGACTCGGCGACATTCACCTCTTTGACGATACAACTCAACATTCGGATTATCCTTCATCTTTAGTAGTGTCTCTTCCAAGTTGATCCTATCTCTAATGCTCCACAATGATTTACATGTTAACAACAACATATACTTATCAATTACTTGTTCAACATGTTGATCAACTATTGTCAACCAAATCATAATATATCCTCCTGTTTCCATTATCTTTTGTTTTATTAGTTGTATTTGTTTGGTAAATTGAATCAATAATGAATGTTCCAAAAAGTCAAAGTATTGCAAAACTCAAAAATCTAGAGAATCTTCATTTGAAGAATCTACTGTTAAAGAGTGAATGAATGATTGAGTGATCATTTGATACATTGTAAGTTATACATATAACATAAACATACTTATAATATATATATATAATCTAGATTAGATACAGGATATAGGATGAATCTTAGTGAGGATGTATTGAAGGGATTGGAAGCACTCTCTGATGAAAAGACCATTCCAAATGATGCTTTCAAGGCATTGATCGAATGTGCCTTTGCTGTGATCCTAAAGACTGACACTGAGAGTACACTTTATGGTATGTCAGCAAGGATCAATCATCTTGATCCTTCATCTACATGTCATTAACAAACAAACAAACAAACATGTATACTTGCAACGATGATCAGAGAACAATGCATTGAAGTCAGCAGATGTTATTGCTGTCAAACAGACTTACTCAGCATTCGTCACCTTCATTCTGGAATCAATGAAGATTAATATAGATAATACAACAATAACGTATGTCTATTCATTGATTGAATGACATGGGATGATCCCATGATCATCATCATATCCTAACATGATCAATCAATCAAACATATAGTTCAACATTGGAGGATCACAAGCTGTCTGGACCAAGGATTCAGTTGATCGTGAGCATGTTCACCAAGCATAGAGTGGCCATCAGAAAGACATTGTCCATCACCAACTTCCACTTTCCACACATCATCGACGTCAATTGGAGACTGGACTACTTTATGAAGTCAAACTCGATCGAGAAGGTCAACAAGCCCGTCTACTTTATCAACTTGACCACAGAGCGCGAGGAGGGCGAGAAGGGAGAGGTTCAATTCGCCTGCACCCTCGATCAGCTGCAAGACCTCGTCTTTAAGCTGAGAGACGCACAGAAGCAGATTGAGCGATCATCCATCAAGTCATAAGAAATGGACTAAGACTGGACTGAACTGGACTGGACTGGACATCGATCACTCACTGTAACATTACATTAAACGAAATGATTGATTGGATATAGGATGACGATGATGATGATCACCATTTATAAATGATTGATTCAATGTCATCTTTGACAAGACAGAGTAGTAGTGAGAGAGGATGGTGATCAATCAATCACCTACTTCTTGGCATCATCTAGCACCTCTTGCATAAGTTTGATGAGGTTCTCCAGACCGGTCAAGTAGCTCTCGTCAAGTGCACCCTTGTCCAATGGATCGACGTGGGCAAAGTCGATCATCTTGAGAGAGACACCAATCTCTGGCGACACCATGATGACGTTGTGATGCTTGCGATGCTGCTCATGAACATGGCCAAAGACAAACAACAATGAAGAGCCATAGAAGGCGTACTTGGTGTTCTTCTTGAACCAAGACTGGAGCACCTTGAGCTCGGCAATGAAGGCGGTCACAGCCTCAACATTCACCTTACCACTGCCGCTTGAGAACAGATTGATAATGCCCTCAGTCTTGATGTTGTCCTTTGTCAAGTTCTTTCCCCACTTCTTTGACAACTTCACAGTCTCATTGGTCTCAGGATGGTAGAGCTAAGATATAGATGTTAGTAATGAGTATGTACCCGATGTTTGATTGATTGATCAATCCTAGCATACCTTGGCTCCACAGAAACGAATGCCAAGAGTTGATGATGTTGTCTTTTGTGACTTGAGTATCTGGTTGGCTCTCTTCTCCTCTGACGCGTCATTGTCATATGTCCTCGTGCCCATCTTGACATCAGCAACACAGATCTTGGTCTGATGGAATGGGAATGTAAGATCCTCAATACCCATGTAAGCTTAACGATTGATTGATTGTCATATTAGTATGTCATTCATTCATTCAATCAATCATTGATTGTGCCGACTAATGATGGATGATGTACTTACTGGTACCCTTTACATCAACTACTTTATCGAATCTTGCCAAGAATCTCTTAAAGTCTTCATCATAAGTGCTGTAGTTCTTGTAGAACTCTAGTTCACGCTTTCCTCTTGATCCTGGTACAGGCTTAAAGACGAATCCGTCAGCTGTCACCAAGAAACCTGGTATATTCTCACTGCCTGGATCATCATTAGTATGACCAGCAATCTGTGATGCCAATGGCTTGAACTCAGTATCAGTACTCTACCGTTACCATACGATTGATTCATGTGATTGATTGATTGATTGATTTGATTGATTGAATGAGGTTAGTTTGGTTCAACATTAATTAATCTTCATAATCAAGCATGTTACCATTTAACTATAAATATATATGTTGTATTATTGTTGTAATAATACAAGAAGATATTTATTTATATTTGTATATATATATAATAACCAATAATTAATGAATGAAGATGAATGGATTGATGAGATGGAATGATTCAACTGGTGTGGATATTAAATTGTTGGAATAGTGTGTGGGTGTGTGTGATGTTCACATTCATGTGGGTTACATCTACAACTTCCAAGGGGTTGCCTAAATACAAGTTGTGTATTCCTTCATCAATGTTTGGTTATGGGAATGAATTGATGAATGAATGAATGAATGAATGGCAATGTTGATGATGGAAGAGGAGGACGTTTTTGTTGAGTTGGAGATGATTGATTCTTGACCTTGCCCCTGAAAGATTACTCTTTTTTGTACTAACCACATCAATCATCATCATCAGTCACTAAACCCAATATCGGTGGAACAATTAAGTCCCCGAGTCACACGACTTGTATTTGTCGCTTGATGATAAATCCCACACTACATAACATTCAAATTTGATCAGGCTGGCATCACTTCCAAGGTATCTGCCTCTCCACTCCTTGGTTCGATCATGTGATTAGTAAAGGGCGGAATCGCACAGTCATTTAGATGATTCACCGGTTCCATAAACCCAGACTCAGCTTTAAAGGTTGGCGACTCTATGGATTGTTGATGATGATTAGTTTTTTGTTAGATTGTGTATAAATGATTGATTAACTTACTCAATGATGGAGGGTTGTTCCTCCAAACGAGTAGATGGTCCTTCTCCATATGTGACGACAATAGTTTGTCATTCCTATCGTTGAGGAACTTGGTGTTAAGACACTCTCGATAGTCCACATCATGCATGCATTGAGATCTTCATAGGTTGTGGTTCCCTCGTTGATCCACTGGCAGGGACAGGCACTTTACAAGATCTGAGGTGGGGGCAGTCTAGATCAGGAAATCATTTTAAAATAAGACTAAAGAAATTAATTCTTATATCTTTTTTAATATTTTTCATCTTACTTCTAACCTCCTCCTCCAACTACACAATAACTCACGACTTCCTCTCAGGGAGTCTTGGGGATGATCGAAACTCCAAAAAAGAGTAACAGTGTCCAAAGAGGGAGTCGGGGAAGTGACGATTGGGACAGATAGAAAGTTGAAATAATTATTTCTATTATTAAAAAAACTCCATTTTACCCTCCCTAGACTTTCTATGTCGATACACATCCTCTTTTTCCACTCAGAGTTTGACCGTGTTGGTTGTGATCGCCTTGACTCTTGGAGACACGGTGAATAGATCGCCAAAGGTGGCCAGTGACTCGATGTTGGTGTCCACTTCTTTCCCTCGTACGATGTAAAATGCTCGATTGTTACCAAGACGAACTAGTGACAGTTGGATTGGCGAGCTAATGTTGGTGACATTATACGATCGTATAACATTTGGAACGAATCGGACGATCCAGCTGGTGAAGTGATCCAGGGTCACTGCAATCGGATTGGTCACCTCAAAGTCAACCAAGAACAATGACTCAATCAGGATAGTCAGGGGCGGCAGCTTGGGCATCAGATCCTTGTAGGGCTTGCATAGGACCAACTGGATGTGGATGGAGATCGGAGCCTTGATGCTATGGACCAGTGATGGCTGAAGAAGCATGAGCGCTATAAAGTCAGAGATTGACAGTCTTCTCAGCCCTGACGGGAATACCTGAAGCACCTCCTGGTTGGAGTACTGCTTGAAGCCATGGCCCAAGGACAGCTCGGTCAGCGAGGCAGGAAGGACGCCTGCTGCCAGTGGATGGTTGAAGCATTGCCCAAGGATCAGTGTTCTGATTGATGATGGTAGAACACCAGGCTCGATGACCTGGTTAAAGTGGACTCCAAATGACAAAGCCGTGAGAGTGTCTGGAAAGATGCCAACATCCACTGACTGTCTGACGAAGCCTCCCATGTCCAGCGACTCAAGCAGGATGGGGAGTGACCCTGGCTCAAGCACATTGTGGGTGTGGCCGCTGAATATATTAAACTCCATGATCCGCGGTATGTCCAGTGTTGGTCGTGGGCCAATGGTCAGCTTGGTGAGCGATGCTGGAAGTGATCCAAGGGCGAATCGACCGGATTCACAGTAGTTCCTCACCATGGTCAAGTGCGTGAGCGATTCTGGCAATGAGTTGATCTCAATGCTATGCTCGTACATCGCTCCAAGCGTGAGTGACTTGAGTGCAAGAGTTCCAAACGCGATGGGCTGATTGAAGCAATATCCAAACGTGATGTCTGTGAGTGACATTGGTATTGTTCCGGCATCAACAGGTTGATCAAAGTTCCTTCCAAACATGAGCCTGGTGAGCGAAGATGGCAGCGAGCCAATGTGAATGACTTGGTTGAACAGTCTGCCAAACACGAGGTCCTTGATGGTTTCAGGCATGTGGCCAGCCATGAGATCTTGGTTGAACTGATCAAACATAACCAGTTTGGTCAATGATGTCGATGTCATCGAGAGAAAGTCCACGCTTGGATCCGTTGGCTTCATCATCGCCTGCGCTCTGTTATATAGATCATCGTCTTCCACTTCATACTTGTTGCTGTGACCAAGAATGAGAGACTCCAAAGATGATGGCAGGGCCTTGTAGAGGGTTGGCAAACATCGTCCAAGAATGCTCAACTTGTTGAGGCATGGTGGGAATGTGGCGGGTATTGTAGGGAACTTGAGACCGCCATTCATCGTCAGGACCGTGAGCGACACTGGTAGCGAATAGGGCATGATCACTTTCTTGTAGGCTCGGTCTAGCTCGAGTTCGGTCAATGTGTCGGGGAGGTATCCCTGCACGATTGCAATCTGAAAGCCATGGCCTAGCTTGAGACGGGTCAGCGATGGCGGCAAACTCGGGAGTCTGAACATCGTGGCCCGGTTTGGGAAAAAGTGAGGGTTGTCGCTCTCTAACAGCCTGATCGATGTTTGAAACGATTGCAACAAGATTTCTGGCAGTGACCTGATTGCTTCAAGCTTGGAGCCATTCTTGAGCAAAGAAGGGCGTATCAAACCGGGGTCATTCTCATTCGAGTCTTCAGTGGGCGCTGCAAGATGATTTGGTGGAGGTACTTCTCCAGCCGCCTCCATTCCTAGCTCGCTTGGGTCTGGAGGCATGTCTTCGATCATGCTTGGGTCTGGGGGCTTTCCATCGTCTGCATAGCCGTGGCCAATCATGCCGGGGTCTGGGGGCTGTCTATCGTCTACATTGCCGTGGCCAATCATGTAGGGGTCTGGGGGTTGGCTCCCAACCAACTCGTTGGGTTCCGGGTCCCCGTCTCGGGGACCATAGTTGGGCTGCTCTTGGGGAGCGGGCCTGCCATACTCACTGATTGCGTCGACTTGTTTGGATATCAAATAGACGTCAGGAGTACTTGTTGAGCTGTCTCGGGGGCCCTGGCCCTGCACTTCATCCAATTGGCTCACCACCCTCTCCAAAGGAGGATTGTGAAATTGTTCGAATAATGGATCGGCTTGGTCTGGAACGTTCAGTCCAGGGTTGTTGTCGAATTCAAGTTCTGTCAGCGAGTCGGGAAGTGCGTACTCTTCGATGGCCGCATCAAACATGCGCGGCAGTGTGAGTGACGTGAGCGATGGCGGCAGCGAGCCAATGGCAATGGCATTGTTGTATGCACTGCTGAACTTGAGTGATCTGATCGTTGGAGGAAGTGTGTTGGGGGCAATGAATTGATTGAACAGAGGACCAAAGGTCATGGCCTGGATCGGGGTCTCTAGGCACGACGTGGGGAGGATGAATCTGTTCCAATTCTTGTTGGAGGTTGGCAGGAGTGCGCGAGGTCCGCGACACAGCAGGATGTACAGCCTTTTGTTGGTGAGACCAAATGAGATGAGGTCAATGTCGTCCAAGCGTTCGGCGATCTTCCAGACCACGATGTCCTGGAATCGATCGACAGGGGATCCCATGTACACTACCTGCTCCCACGGGAGTTGCGGCAGTTGTATTCGGCCATCTTACTGTTTGTGCGATTGCCTTGTCCTTGGCCTGAGCCAATCGTTGAAGCCGGTGCTCGTTTCGTGCTGACTCTGATCAGAATCAGAGACACGGTTGGATGCAAGAACAGGTGATCGGTCGTCATGATCTTGTCCAGCATGTCCACGATATTTGGGTTGCACATCCGCCGGAATGACTCGAGTGCCGGCGGGGTCAGGTTGGCATTGACCGCCATCATCAACAGATGGAGGATGTTGTCCAATGTGTAGTACTGGTACACATATTGTTGCTTGTCATCATCTGGCCCGGCATGACCTTGGGGGTCCATGCTTGACAGACAATGGAACAGCGAGTAGAATATGATCTTGTACAGATGTGGCGAGAGGAGTAGTTGGGCGATCTGTTTGAACTCTGGTCGCAATGGTGCGAGTGTGCCAGGGGGCACCTGGATGACAAACTTGATGCGTCTCTGATTGATTAGAGCCAGCCTAACCTCGCGAGACCTCTGAGGGAACCTGTAGTCAAAGTAGTACTTGTTGTAGAATGAGTAATACTCTGTCTTGAGTGAGTAGTGGCCACCTGTTGTTGAGTTGTTGTTGTTGTTGAGGTTGGGCACTGGAGTGGCCACCTCGTTGAGAACAGAGTCAAAGTCTTGAATTCCAAAGTTGGGGAGTTGATCAATGTCCAGGAGTTTGATCAACTCATCCCGAGTCCAATTCTGCATGATCAGATGATGGATGATATCATACTTGACAATGTCGCGTGTGCTCTGCCGACCAGTCAATGAACGCTCGGTCAAGATCACCATGATGTGTTGGAAGAAGTCATTGAGAACTCCAGTTTGATAACGATCAAGTGAGTGTGTTGTCTGAAACAGGTCGTCTACCAAACACTTGAAGTGGCTCATGTATAATTTTATAAATCGATCGGCTGGCATCAAGGAACATATGAACTGATTGGAAGGTCGCGTCAGTAATCGACTTGGTGTGATCAAAGTATGTGTACATACTTGTTCCAAGTACAAGTCTTGGATTGTGCTGTATCGTTGAGAATAAAAAAGGTAGTTTGTTATCTGCTTGTCTAAAGGCTCGTCAACGTTGCCATGGATGTGATGGATCATCAATGAATGAATGCTTGCCGGGCCAACAAGGAGATGTTCAAGGTGCTCAGGGGGGTTGCTCCTACATGCATTGTGATGGGAGCAGAGTTAGCCGTCGAGAGCAGGTGAGCTCACTGGCGCGGGGTACATACAGGAACGATGATGCCATCTCTGAGAAAATGTGTTGGTCGCTGTAGTATAATACCGCGATGGAGAGTGCTCGGGTGAGACAACGATGGATGGGCAGATTGAACGACACTCCTCCATCAGTTGATGATTGCTTGATTAGTTTGCTGGCCGTGTTGAGCATGTCAATCGTGTTGGTTAGTGCCTGCTTGTCCTCTGCACTGCCGATAGTGCCTGTCGCGGGGATCAGTGTCTTGAGCAGTCCAAACATGACAAAGTTGTTTGCAAGATTCTTGATGTAGAACGACCTGTGGTCCAAGTGATTGATGATGCCCGTGATGAACGGACAGCTCAGATGGAACAACGACATGAATTGGAGGAGGGGCCTGATCATTGATGGACTGTTGATCATCATGTCGCGGAACAGTGGCGCACATGACATGATGAGAAGGATGTCGCTGGTTGCCCAGAACCTGTCGATACCATCAAGGTCTGGCTTGGACAGCTTGCTCTGGAAGGTCAGCGGCGCCTTGTTGGCGATGAGATATTTCGATGATGCATTGCTGATGGAATCAAACAAGTTGGCCAAATGGTCTTGGGCAACCAGGTGCTTTGTCACGCTGGGGATCAGATAGAGCTGACTTGCAAGCATTCGGATGGACTTGTGCTCGAATTGATCGTGAGTGCCAGCGAGGAGTCGATCGAGCACGACGTCATAATGAGCGAGGAAGCATATTGCAAAGTCCACCCTGCACAGTCTGTCCATCACCAGTGACCTGATCAACATGTACACTTTTTTGTAGATTGGCGTCGATATGTCCTAAGGAGGGATGAGTCAACATATGTTGTATCGGGGACAGTCTGGGGATGGACTTACCTGATCGTGAGCCAGGGTCAGGATCTGGCCCAAACGGGTGTCGTCGGTGTCATTGGCTTGCTTGACCATAAGGCTGCAGATGATGTGCTTGAAGGACGTTAGCTGAGACAGATTCTCCAGCATGTCCAGGATCGAGGTCAGCTGGTCTGTGCATTGGTCATTTGTTGCCAGGATGAGCAGAGTGGGGACGAGGCTGAGTATGATGCCCAAGAGTCGTTGGCATCGCGCGATGTGGTCATGTCCCAGCGCCACCAAAGGACTGAGCAGGTCATTATCCTGATTGATGAACGAGGCGTTGTGCACGTTGCAGAAGCCATCAGTGTCCCAGAGGTCAGGGTCGCCACAGTCACAACAGCCTCCATCTGCGACGGCAGCAACAACCGTGACGCCATCGTGCCCAACGTGCTTGCTCTGATCAAAGCAGTTGATGCACAAGATGCTGTGCTCGCTCTTTTGGCACTGCTTGCACTTATAGGTCGACTCTCCTTGTTTAATCTGTCGGCCACAGGCTGTCTGGCCAGAGCAAGATTGTTGCATTAGCATCAACTCGAATGAATCTCTTCCGCCACCGGTCAAGTATGTTCTCAACTGCAACAAGAACAACATAAAGTGTTGTTCTTGCTCATCATCAAATACTGTAGTATTAATATGATCAGCAACAACCGTCCAACTATCCTCTGTCATCTTCGAAGACTGCAAGTGTTCAACAAACAGATCCATCGTCGACACTCCCAGGGACATTAGTATATATATGGTATGTATAAGTGTATGTATGTGTTGTGATTGAATGTTGCACAAGTTGGAGTTGGATCCTTCTCATTCGATGAATGAACAAACTTTGATGGATATTTGTTCTTCGACAGCGCCAAATTGATTGGTGTACTTCTGGGACAACAGAGTTGTGGAGCATGTGTCTGTGATGGTTGACTTGATTGTCAAATGAGTGAGTTGGAAGCCACTTCCAACATTGGTGTTGTTGCTCGTGTTACTGATGAGTAACACTTCTTCCTGGCTTGATCCTCAGTGTGATCCTGCTCAAGTTTGAGTGGCCTGCAGTTTGAGTTAAATGGCAAGATCCAGGTTGCCAAGATCAAGGGCAAGGAGGAGGCCAAGAACAGGACAACGACGAGGAGCAGCCTAAGAAGATGGACGAGGTCAAGGTTCGCGTCGTTGTATGGTAGCCAGCCCTCAGCGAACAGGCTGAAGAAGCCGCTGCCTTCTGATAGCCGCCCTCGTTGGCGTTGAAGCGTGAATAATAACTGAGCGTCATGGCGTAGGTCTGTTCCTTGTTGTTGTATTCGATCATTGTTGATGGCTTGCACTCGGTGGTTGAGGTCATCAAAGGACGTCTCCGAGAGTATCATGACCTGGCTGCCATCGGCAAATGCGTATTGGTACTTGTTCAGGTCGTCCTGGGTTGGCTCGCCATCACCAGATTGCGCGCGTACGACTCCTTGATGGCGATGATGCTCGGGGCTCCTATATACCAGGCGCAGGTTTGGCCTACACGTTGCTCATCCATGCGCCAACCTCGTCACCGCAGTCATTGGACGATACAGTATCCTTCCAAACAACTAGATAGGCTCAAGTACTCTTTGTGAGCCTCCTACCGTCGTGGTATGCTTCTCGTTTGTGTTTGTTGATTGTTTATGTATTATAATAATTAATTGAATAAAGTAACACCTTAATAATATTAGTACCATATGGTACTAATATTCTCAAGCAAGTATTGTACTACTAGGATGACATGCTGGGCGTCGGCAACAACGGCCATGACATTGGTGTCTTGAGTCTTGAGTAGGTTGGGCGCGAATACTATTGATAAATTTACAGCGGTCATCTTGTTGATATGTGCATTCTGCAACACCTTGTCCAAAAAGTGGAAGAGCTGTCGCGTCAATGCTCTATTAGCAGGTGGCAACAATGATATCAACAACTTCAAACTCTCAATCTTCTCTTCTCTTGGCATGTCGCTCTCTGTAGTTGTTGGATTGAGTTAGTGGTGTACCATTGAGTGATGTGATGTGGATATAGGATACATACTGGCAATCTCTATGAATGATGGATAGGTGTCAAATGGGAATAGGGGCTCAGGTAACTCGCGTAGGTATAGTTTGAGAAGACCGGCAACGGTGTGGACATCTTCGCAGTCGTTCAGGTTGATGTCTTCACCACTGTCAAAGCATTGCTTCATTGACTTGATCTGTGAGTTGGCACCAGACAGTCTGAATATGCCTTCGACATGAAGTGCCCGCGTCTCTAGATACTCGAATCCCTTGACAAACAACACTGGTATGTCACTGTTGTTGTCTGGTCTGTTGACCACTTGCTCCAGTGGCACTCCAAATATTGGCTGTGCCTTACGTCCTGCAGGCTTGTGCATCATTATATGATGTGGTAGATTGAGTTGGTCCTTTCCAAACGACTTGAACAAGTCGGCCAGGTCCTCAATATACGTCAACTTCTTCCAGAACTTCTCACTGATGAATGGCTTGAACAGTCGCAGCGTGAACTTGATCCATGTCGTTGGATGAACAATATACAGTCCCTTCAGATTCTTCTTGTATCTAATTTGATTGATTGATTGGAGTGGGTTAGTGAGTGATTGAGTGATTGGAATAGCTCCAGTAATTGAATGATTGAATGATCGAGTGTGTGGGAGTGATCGAGGCCTCTTGGAATGGTCCCAACTAGTGGGGAGGCAACTTACTTTCTGTTAAAGATGGCGTAAACTTTCTTCAGCCAAGCAAAGTCTGGCTTGTTGTCGTTTGTTATGTTGGTGTGAAGGTAGATGAGCACGTAGTCACCGTCCACTACCGGGTCCATCACAGAGATGGTGTAGAGTAGCACACGCTCCATATCCATTGTCTTGACCGGCAGGTTGGAGGCGATGATCACCACGACGCTGCGACCCAGGTGATCTTTGCCCGCTTTGTACAAGAAGTTCTTGGACTCGACGTCGGGGTACGAGCTCTCCTTGGAGCGGTTCAGATACTCCAGGTACTCGGCCTCTGCACGGGTCCTTGCGTTGTTGGCCGCCGCTGGCTTGGCGACGGCATTGTTATTGTTGTTGTTGTTCCTGCCCAAGAGCGAGGAGAAGGCGTTGGAAATGAGTCCACCGCCCTGCGCTGGTTGTTGAGGTTGTTGTGGTTGTGGTTGTGGTTGTTGTGGCTGTGACTGTTGTTGCTGTTGTTGTTGTTGTTGTTGCTGCTGGGTCGACAGACCCTTGTTATGATATGTTTGAATGAGGTCCTCATTGTTCTTCATCCATTGAGGTATGTTGGCGGGATCGATCGTGTGATACTGTTGCTGAGGACGCTTGACTGATGCCAGGTCAAGCGAATGTGATCTGCTTGCCCTCCTCCTCGGGCTGCTCTTCAATCACCAGGGCCTTCCTAAATGTACCTCTTCTATTGTTTGGATCGATGTTGTCCTCGACGTCGCCGCCATTCTGTACCTTGATCGTGCCGTTGCTACCAGTGAGGTGTACCGCCAGTGTTGTTGTTGCTTGGTGTGGCAGTGTTCTTTGTTGGCGACCCCGTGCCACCACCAAAGCCTCCAAAGCCCATCCCTGAGCCCCTGACGCTACTCCTCTGATTCTTTGTCTTTTGCATGACGGATGCCCACGAGGCTGTTGGCTTGATGTCCTCATCGTCGTCATCGTCATCATCCTCCTTGGCCTGAGGCGATGCCTGTGGCGATGGCTCCACCTTGGCCTTCTCAGGAGTTGATGGTGCACTGTTGCTATCCAAGTTTATCTTCTCGAACTGGTCCTCTGGCGATGCCGCCGCAGCAGCCTTTATCTCACTCAGATCGACCAGTTGCTCTGTATCACCTTTGAGCTTGTTGCCAACCAACACACCACCGCGTGACTGTGATGGCTTGGCAATGTATGCCTTTGGCTTTCCAAAGAACATCTGTGAGGGCAACATCGTCTTGGCACGTGCCGACCTTGACCTCATAGGGAATGATTCCATGCCACTCAATTCATCCTTTACATCGCTGCTACTGTTGCTTGTGGCTGTGGGTGGCGACTTCTCATTTGGAGATGTTGGCGCACTGACATTGCCATTATCAACCTCTGTGCTTGTTCCTGTGCCTGTTGCCATCGTCTTCTCATTTGGAGATGTTGGTGCACTGACATTTCCATTGCCGAATGAGTTCCTGTTCACACCAAAGGTAACTCTTCTGGCCGATCTCTCATTGTTGTTGTTGTTGTTATTGTTGGATCCACTGTCACCCATTGTTGATGACGATGCAGTCTGTTGTCCACTTGTGGATACAGTGTCTGGCGTCTGTTGTAACACCGGTGTTTGATCACCAGAAGTCTTTATGCTAACTCTTTTAAATGTACCACCTCCACCTCCAACTGCTGTTGTAGTCGTTGTTGTATTGATTTCACTACTACTACTACTATTATTGTTACTCATTTATAACACTTTTAATTGATTGATTGATTGAGTAAAGTCAGTCGACTGAGTTAGTGAGTGAGTGAGTGAGTGAGTGAGTTGTGATGATTGATTGAATGAATGAGATGGAATGAAGAGATAGTATTACAATGAATGACAGAATGAATGATGGTTCTGTTAAGATGGTGACACATGTTGGTTAGGTCCGTCCCCTTGATTGCAGGTGCAATCCCAAACAATTTCTATTTTGCACTAAATCAAAACGTTGACCACGCTTCAAAAACAAACCCACACGAAGCCTCATCAAAACAACAGAAAAACAACAACTTTTCAAATAATTAATCTTAAGATTTGCACTGATTGATTCATCTGATCAAATAACTTAAGCGAAGTGTCCATGTCCAACTTTGACTCCAACAATATCTTTTTATGTACATAGACCAACCAATATCAAATTTATAATATACTCTGGTTTAATCATTTATTCACTACTCATCGCGAACTTCACACCATAGGATAAGAAAAGTGAATGAATGAATGGTATTGGACTCGACATGTCGCTTAGAACTCCATCGGTGTCTTGGTTGTGACACTTAGTTAGCTCCACTGGATTGTGATTGTGATTGTGATGGCAATCAAACCAGCGCCAATTAGAATTACATAATGACTCAGATGGATTCTTTCTATTCAATGTAAGATTGACGAGATACAAAATGGTGATGACTAGTCGTATGTATGTGTATGACCATTTAACAATGACTCTTGGAACTCATTTCACTGGGTCGTGTAAGTATTTACCTTGATCATAAATACGGTTAACTTAAACCATATCTTAACCCAATCAATAATGATCTGACATCAATCAATATCATCGGACGTCTGTCTGTGTATGTGTGGTAGTGCTAGTGATCGTGATCGTTGTTGTGGTCATCAGGTGAGTGTGTGAGTGTGTATCGATGAAAGTGATCAGGATATAGGATAACGTGTGTGGTGATTGATGTCAATGGCTATTTACCAATGATGGTGTTATTGGTATTTGTGATGATCAACCCAATGTCATGGTCAACCAACAATAATTTTATCAGGAATCATTGAATATCTTATAACTGCTACCATCACTTATTGATTGTGATCATCATCTCAGTCAAAGGACCAAAGATGATAAACTATAAAAGACTCAATCTTTAATCATTGTTTAACATCATCAACTCAAATATCAAGTATCTTAAACATCAATACTCAATCAATTAATCAATTATTTCCAAAAATGACTATCCTTTGTAAGTAATTAAACAAATATTAATGGAACAATTCCAATCAATATTTATCAAATATTAATACTCTCTTAATATTTAGCTGCCATCTCATCTTTCGGTACCCCATCTGTTGGTTCAATTACCAAGTCTAGTGTAATGACCTCAGGAACCAAGTCATTCGGTTCAACTCAATCATCAAACAATGTTGCCTGTTGGGGATGTCATCGCAACCTCCTTGACCTTAACGCCTATATTGGAGTCCATCTTGGATCTCTCCTAAACCTCGATGCCAACGTCAATGTTGACCTCTAACTAATTCACCCTGTTAATTATCCATCTTGTAAATAAATAAATAAATAAATATATCTTGAAGTCAATAATTAATGCGAGGGTATGTCTGTGAGGGTTTGTGGACTTGTCGAAGTTTCAGCAGTTAAATTGATAAAAAATTGAAAACAATTCATTTTTGTGAAGTGCATCACAACTTGGGGATGAATGTATCCGTGTATCTTGTATCCCTTTTTGAATCTAATACATATAACAACGTTGTATCTCTTTGATTATATATCACAACATACATAATTATACATAGAAACATGAGTATAGGAGTACCAGTAAAGATATTGCATGAAGCAGATAGTCATGTGATCACAATAGAATTGCGCAATGGTGATTTATACCGTGGCACATTGGTCGAGAGTGAGGACAATATGAATTGTAGAATGGCCAACATTACAATGACTACAAAGGATGGCCGTCAGACACAGATCGAACAGATATACATCAGAGGCAGCAAAATACGCTTTTTCATTCTGCCAGACATGCTGAAAAACGCGCCTATGTTCAAGCGTATCGATGGTCGCGTCGTCCTCAAGGGCAAGGCGCTGGGCATCGGTAGGAGTCTGGGCAGAGCCAACAACAGAGGCGGTGGTGGCGGCGGAAGAGGTAAGCAATACCAATCAAGCAGAACCTTTGGCGGTGGCGCGAGACATGTCAACTCATACAACAACACCTATTATTCAGGCGGCCGTGGTGGTGGACGTGGAGGCTTTGGCGGCGACAGAGGAGACAGAGGAGACCGTGGAGGATTTGGCGGTGGCGACAGAGGCGATCGTGGTGGATTTGGTGGTGGCGACAGAGGCGACCGTGGAGACAGAGGTGGAAACATCTATCAACAAAGAAGATAGAATGGTAACCTTGGCACTCAATCAAACAACAATTAATCAATCAAACAAACATTCAATGGAAACCGACCGACCGATCGACCGACAAACTTAACAATAGTATACCTCCTTCCTCCTCCCCAACAATCAATCAAATCAATCAATATAATAATCACTTGTATCATTCTGATCCATGATTGATTGATCGATCGATATAAAGCGAATCATCAGACTCATCACAAAAGACGATTCTAGACTGATCATTCCATGGACACAACAACATGTATGATGTTGTTTCCATCAATCACTGTAGATATCAAATAAATACCATATACCCTTAAGTTTGATTGTGTTGTGTTGGTCCAATCTAGGTCCTTCTTTGAAGGCCTCCCACACCCACCCATTTTGATCAAGGTCCGATGCATGATGAACTTAACATTTGATCAATCTTTAATTCAATCATTCACCCGATCAATCAATCAATCATTCAACAATCAAACTGTTTGATTATCATTCAACACATAATGAAGGGTACATTCTGTAACTATATATTCTTGTGCTTGGCTGTGTTCTTGGGCACATTGTCATTGTTGCCACCTCTGGCAATGTATGGCCTCGACTCAACGCCAGACGTGACGTTCGAACCATTCATACCGCAGACAGCACCTGAACAAGTGGGCGCCTACGCACCAAACACCAAGTTGGACACAGACATCAAGTTCATAGAGGGACCACACGGCGCCGAGACAGTGGCCTTTAGCAAGCATGGCGACATGTACTTCTCAAACAAGGCAGGCGAGATCAGATACATCGAGGCCGAGTTGCTAGATGGCCACATCAGCAACAACATGTCGACATACTCTGGAGTTGCCAATCGCACCATTGGCAAGCTGCTGGTCCAGGCTGGCCGCCCCGTCGGCATGTACATCGATGCTGAGGACCGTCTGTTGGTGGCCGACGCCGTCAAGGGACTCCTGCGCGTCGATCTTGAGACACGGGACGTCAACATCCTCACATCTGGCGCCAATGGTACCAAATTGATCTTCCTCGATGATGTCAAGACAGGCCCTGACGGCATGATCTACATCTCAGACAGCGCAAGGATCGGCCCACTCATGGACAAGAATGGAGATTGGAACATACTCACATCGGCCACATTCGCAATCGCTTCATCCAAGCCTGATGGACGACTGCTCTCCTACGACCCACAGACCAAGGAGACCAAAGTCCTAATGCAAGGCATTCGTTTCGCCAACGGAGTACTCGTCGATCCAACTGGAAACAGTGTCTACGTCTGCGAGACATCGACCTACCGTGTGTGGCGCTATTGGCTAAAGGGTATCAATGGTAAGTAGTAATTCGTATGTTAACACTGTGGCTAGCCACATACCATACTAACAATGTTTGATTGAAGCTGGCAAGTCAATGGTATTCATTGATAACCTACCAGGATATCCAGATGGCATTAACTTGGGCAGCGATAATAGATTGTACATCAGTCTTTATGGTGGCCGCTCCAAGCTTGTGGATTGGATCCATCACTTCCCCTCAGTCAAGCGTCTTTTGCTACGTATTCCATTCGTCAAGTTCCCAATATATCCACCAATGATTGTCATTGCTGATCCAAACGTATGTTCATACATCCATTCATCCATCCATCCGTCAATCCATTCAATCACGCTGACCTTACATCAACTCAACTTCATAGTCAGGTGAGATACTTGACTCGCTACAAGGTACAAGATCATCACCACTCAAATCACTCACATCTGCCGTGGAACATGATGGTAGACTATACATTGGAAGTAAGTTGTACTTGATGAGTACTCGATCAATCACATTGCCAAAGACTAACCTCAACCCAATAGACCTACATCTTAACTTTATTGGAGTGTATGACTTGAATGGAAATAGACAATGAATGAACTAGTGAATGAATGAAAGAATGGAATTATTATTATTACATTAACAATTATTATGGTGGAGGATTGATCAATCAATCAATTAATCAATCATCAATCCATGCAGTATCATCTGACTCATCTTCAGGGTCGCTGTCATCGGGCTTCATGGCTTCCCATCGTTCTTGAAGTCTGTCACGGAAGATTGCAGCAAAGTCATTGACAGCACGTGGCTTCTCTTCTTCTGGTACAAACTTCTTTAGGCGAGCCATGTGATCCCTTTGGAGATCGGCCAACAAATCACCAGTACCAGTGGATTGTCCATGAGGAGTTGGCACCCTCTTTCCAATGTTGTCATCATCAGCCTGGTGGACTGTGGATACTGGTGATTGACGAGTGATGGGAGCAGAAGGTGTTGGGGGTGCTGGAGGGGCTGTGATTGGACCAGGTGGGGCAGGAGGTACTAGTTGTTGTGTTGCTATCACTGACAATATTGGGAGAGTTTGTTGGGGTTGAGGTGGAGGAAGAGGAGGAAGACCACTTGGTGGCAACTGTTGTGGTTGTTGAACGACGGGAGCAATTCCAGATGCTCTTGTAACATCCGGAATTTGATTGACATCAACAGATGGAGTGTCGTCGGTAACGAATATTGGAAGACTTGAATAGATAATGTTGGAGGGTGCGATTGTTTGTTGCTCCTCTTGATTGTTCCAATTAATATTCTCGGCAACATGGTCCAATGGTAATGATGTTGGAAATACATTTTGTTGAAGATCTGAAAGATTGATACTCATTTGAGGAATCCATCCACTCTTGGTTTGTACAATTGATTCACCCTTCTCCACTGATACAGGTGGAGCTTGTAGTCTCCTCCTTCCATGTAGTAGTACTTGGTGTCCACGTCCTTGATTGGTATTGTCCATACCATCCTTCATGTTATCCAATGAGTTTGGATACTTCTTATAAGGATTCTCCTGAGTATTGAACAATAACAAGTTGGAAACACTCGAGATATGTTGAGGCAACTGACCAAGGCCCTCCTTTTCCAACTCCTCATTCTTTGCCAAACCTTTCATACTCTTCTCAATGAACACAACATGTTCACCTAACACTTCTTGGCTGTCTTGTTGTTGTTGTTGTTGTCTCTAAAGTACGGGACTGATAAGTATGTGATTGATTGAATGGTTGAATGATTAAATGATGGAAAGGGTACTTACTGTTGCAACTACATCATTTAGTTGATAGTTGGAGGATGAGGGATTGAATGGTACTCGAGCCTTGTCAGAGTAGAGTGGACTGTAGTCAGTCCATTGATTGGATGATGGATACCTGGCACTGCTGAAGACAGTGATGGCATTCCTACTTCCAACTATACTATCAACTTTACATTGTGCTCTACTCAATCTATTTGATACATTATCAATTCTAGACTTCTCCTTTGATACTCTTGAACTTATAGAAGTATAAACATTATTGAATACATTGTCCAGACTAGCAAGAGCGTCAACAATTTGTAACAATGACTCTGGTTCCCTTAAACCATTGGACACAACAGGTACTTGATATATTTGTGTTGATGACATTATATTATATATATATTTAGTTAGTAAAGGAGTAATATATTACTACATAAGTAGTGATGGTGATTAGAATGATGTTGTTGTTCACATTTATTCAGGAATAACCTGGAAATAAAGTTCCATGGAACATTTCAGAGATGCCCTTTCTCAACACTTTTGAGTTTCTCGCATTCAATCCCAAGTGAACACGTAAGCACATTAGCGACAAACTCATTGTTATGTTATTATCTCTATCTCTCTATCTCTAACTACAAATAAACATGTAGTCAACTTGATCGAATCAATCAATTGACCTACACAAAAACAAAGGTCAACTTCTGTGAACAAAGAATGATAGCAATCAATCAATCAATCAATCATGTAATGGGCAAACAAACACCAATTACTAATAATAATACATATTACAAAGACCTTACTATGGTTGTAGTTATAAACTTACATCAATCAATCTATTTATACCCATCAATCATCATACATAGCACCAAACAAACAATAGATTGATTTTGGTGCAATACTTTAAAATCATCGTTAGTATAAAGGTCTGCATCATTGACACTTGGCCTGGTAACCATTCCATTCATTATTATAATCTTACATAAAAACGCCGACTTTGGTTCGCCAACCATCATCATTATCACTCCACAAATCACCACTCAATGCCATCAATGGTGTTCATCAAGATCGACCCGAGTGTGTGTGTGTGTGTGTGTGTGTGTGTGTGTGGGTGTGTGGGTGTGACGGAATGATCACCTACATCACAAGGCCTTCGTTCCAAACTGCGATCGATAGAATGGTGTGGTGTGGTCGTGATTGTCCTTCACCTAACAGAACAGAAAGCCCACCACCCTTGTTCGAAATGGACCGGCCAACATCCACATGTTGTAATGTATTGACAAGACTTGGGCAGATGCAATGCATTTTTGAAGCCAACGTCTGTCAGTTGTCCAGTCATTCCATCTTATACATTATTATCTGTATTGTAATTATACATACCTTCCACAAACATCATTCAAAATGATCAAACTTGTACTTTTGTTACTCATTGCACTCTGTTGTTGTGCATTTGCAGGTATGTTTCTCCCTCCCAGTCGCTCTCTGATCGATCAAACGATCAATCACTCACACTTACACTCACTCAAACTCACACTCAATAGACCGCAGTGTTATCGTCAATAACCTTGGAGACCAAGCAGTTCGCTCATACTCTGTAATTGTTAGCGCTGCTTCAAACACCTTTACTGCCAGTGGCCGTGCAGTATTTAGTTCATTGTTTGGTGGCGGCGCAAAGGCCAAGACCGATGGCTCAATCTTTTACTTTAACGGACAACGTTGCACATACACTTATGTGCACAAGACCTTTGATGCCATCATCAATGGAGACAATGGAACTATTTCCAAGTCCGAGACATTTGCTGCTGTCTTCTCACCATTCATTATAATCGAGTATGAGGAGACTAATGGTGTTGAGGGCTACCAATACGGCAACGATACACTCCTTGGATGGGCTCGCAATGACAAGTGGGACGCAACTGACTACTGGAAGTTCTCTGTCACAAAGGCCAACTTCACCACGACCACCCCAGACAACCAGAGCATCCCATTCACTGTCACCACGGTCAATGCCACCTCACCAAATGGACTCTTCTCTCTGAGCTTCTCCATCTCGGATGCACCAGTCAGTGTCAATGATACTGACATCACTGCCGATCAGACCAAGATCAACATCGAGATCAAGGGCTACTACGATAACAATGTTAACCCAGCCACCAAGAACTGCGACGTCAAGCCAGGCAACTTTGCCTGCCAGTCCACTGGCGCTTCAAACAACAACAACTCACGTTTGGCTCTTGGATCATTCGTTGGAGTTGGTACTGCTAACGCCCTATTCAGATCAAGTCCACATGGATTCCTCAAGACACATGGTGGCGGCAACGTCGACGCCGTCTTTGACTGGGCCACTACTGTCAGCATCAACGGAGCCAACGCCACGGCCAACGTGTCTACCTCTTTCTCTGACTTCAAGAAGGGAGAGGGACACCTTAATCCAGATGTCAACGTCGATGGAGACTCTAACAATATTGGTGCACAAATTATGGTCCATTCATTCGACTACATCAGACCACAATCAATCTATTGGGATCCAACCTTTGGTGGTCAGAGCACTGGATCAATTGCACTTCCATCGATCATACTCATTGTATCAACTATATTCGCCATGTTGATGTTGTAAGGCGATGATTGATGTTTAAACAAGCCAACAATCAAATTCAATCCAATAAACGATCACGACTAATTGTAACTCATACTACCAAGTTCCCAATAATGGGAGAGCACTACTTTGTACTTCAGACTGACTCCTTTGATTGATTCGCGCGTTACGTAATGGTGGTAGGGGTTACCAGTCCAATCAGCCCGGGCTGGATGTCCGTCTCTGGTAACACCTGACGTGTTATAAGTTACCAATCCTTCCATCCATCTCCACCAATCACTACTTTCACACACCCGACACTGATCAGTGTTATGTATAAGTATGTGTGTGTGAGTTGTTGTTGATTATGAGATGAGTGAAGTTTGGTGAATGTTTAGAATCAGGAAGAGAGGATTGTAGGTGATGGGCCGCGCCAAGTCCAAATGTCCGAGGGGGCATGCATAGATAAAGTCGATGTTTCTCGTGGAGCCCTCCTTCCTTTCAATTCCAGCTGGTCATACAGTATTCTGACATGCACCAAAAGTATGTGACCTTTGCACCAAGTTCACGGTGATCACCCCCCTTATTGATTTCAGTAGGGGTCTACCGATAGGTTGGATGATCAAAATAAAAAAGGGACCAAACCGCTGACGGCAACATAGAGTGATATTAATTAACTGATGGAGTGAGCACTAACCAATAAGTGATCGTGGTTAGCTATGTTTGCGCAATAAACGGGCATGAATGGGTACCCCTTTGCATCCCTTGCATACCAAGACATCAACACGAGAAGTTACCAAAGGTGTCATTCATTCATCCATATTTAACATCGTCAGAAGTCCAATCATAACTTACTTACTTATCTAACTAACTAACTATTTATCTATAAATAATAACCTTTGTTGTAATTTTATCTCTTTTGTACAAGTAATATAATATATAATAATGTTCAAGTACTTATTATTGGCTGCACTCTTATGTGTTGCTGTTACATACGCTGCCACTATTGGTATGTTTTACATATATTGTCTGACGTGACACAGGTCAATCAATCAATGTCGACCAAATCAGGAATGTAATCACTAACATCATCCACCACACTCACATACTTCCTGATTTATCGATCAATCAATCAATATATAGATGGTGTTGTCGTCGTCAATGTTGGTAACAATGCTATCCGTAGCTACGCCGTCACCTCTGGTCTGAGCACATTCACTGCCACTGGTAACTCTGTCTATGGTGTATGTGTACTTCCCGATCTGGCAATCATTCAATCAATCATTAACTAATAATCTAATTAATCAATATAATAATATTTAGTCGCTCACTGGAGGTGGACTTAAGGCTCACTCCGACTCTGTATCCTTTGTCTTTAACGGAAATGGCGCTTGCAAGTACGCCTTCACTCACACCAACCTCGACATTAGCGGAGGCTCTGCTACTGGAGCCACTGGAGTCAGTGTTACCACTGGAGGCAGTGTCAACTTGGGCGTGTTCGCCTCTGTCTACTCACCATTCTTGATCATCGAGTTCGAGGACACCAACGGCACTCCAGGCTTCCAGCAGGGAGACAAGATCTTGGGCTGGGCCCGTTTGGACAAATGGCTCGGAGGCTGGGACATCCAGACCAAGAGCGCCCCATACACCACCACCGCCAACAACCAGCAGTACAACTTCACTGTCACCCAGGTCACTGCCATCTCCCCAGACACCGTCACCACTCTTCGCTTCGGAGTCACTGGTGCCCCAATCACCTTCAACGGCACGGACCTCAGCTCAGACATCACCAAGATCGACGTTGAGATCAAGAACTACTACGACGCCAACATCAACAAGGCTTCACCACTGTGCACTGTCGGCGCACCATACTTTGAGTGCCGTTCGACCGGTCCATCTGGCAACGCCAACTCTCGCCTGGCCCTCGCCTCATTCGTCGCCGTCGGTTCTGCTGAGCTGAACGTCCACGCTGGCGCCGTCGTCTCCAAGGGAGTCAACGGAGTGTCTGGTGTCTTTGACTGGGTCTCGACCGTCACTGTCAACGGAACCACCGCCACCGCCACCGTCCACGCCGACACCTACGACCTGAACAAGAACAACACCTACAACGTCCAGTTTGGAATTGAGGGTCAGAGCACCGTCAGCGCCCAGCTCCTCGTCCACTCCTTCGACACTGTCCGTCCTGCTTCAATCTACTGGGACCCAACCTTCGGAGGTCAAGCCGGCAACTTTGGAAGTGTCATCGTCCCATCCATCGGACTCATCCTTGCCCTCGTCTTTGCCTTGTTGCTTTAAATCCCTCATTCATTCATTCATTATTTGTTATGACTCGATGAATAATAAAGCCGATCCAGACCCAACCTTATGTTTATTATTGAAACATTATTGTTTACAACCCTTTTTGTCGTGTGTGGGTTTGCTTGATCAAAAACAGTGCACTACAACCAATCAATGATCAAAATTGAGAAACTTCTGATGAGAAGTTTGATAGTGTGACCTCAACTTACGGATACGAGTCAGTCTTGCTTCTTCAAGGTGTCTTCCAAACTACTATTACACCACCAATCATAACATCAAAGACATCAATCAATCAATCACATCAATCAATCAATCATCAATCAATCACATCGATCAATCACACCAAACTTACAAACATATAATGTCTTCTTCTTCGTCGCCACCCTCGACATCGGCGACAGCGGGAAGTGACAGAGACGTGGCCGACACTATACTCAATGGCCTAACACTGATTGATCAGCGATTGAATAGACTAAAGGGTTACACACTGGACGCCAGCGCATGCACCCAATCACAGATACAGAGTAACATCACAAGCTACGAGAAGATCAAGTCAATACTAAGTAATGCACGTCTGTTGCTCAAGGAGCAGACGCAGGATGACGATGTCCGACATATCAGTCAGCAGGTCGAGATCAGACTGAGCACGACCACAACCGAGATCGAAGTGTTGGTCAAACGACTGGCTGATGGTGACTATCAGATTGATTCAGGTCATGGCCACGGCTTGGGTCTCACCGTGTCCAGCGAGGAGGAGCGACCACTATCACCCCTATCGCTTGTCTCACGTGAGATTGAGCGCAAGCTGGCCTCGGACCTCTCGCAGTCCCAGCCCAACCTATCATCATTGGTCGCACACCATGACGGCAACAACAACAACAATGGCATCAATGGCAACAACCATGGAAACAACACATGTACACATACACTCATGGTCCCACCATCATCATCATCTTTAGCCAGCTCAGCACCAGGTCGTACAACAACATTGGGAGTGTGCACCAGCAACACATCAAGCAGCATAAATGATAAGATCATCCTGCGAAGGATGTCCAAGCTCCCGCCTATCAAGGTGTCGGGCACAAGGATTGGACACTATCGGTCAAACTCAATGTCTTCGATACAAGCACCAGCACCCTCGCTGCCCGCCTCACGAGGCCATGGCGAACGCCTGGCCACACTACAATCTCTGCTCAAGGCTGAGATACTGACCAACTCAGTTGACAACAAGGTGATGGATGACGTGGGCATACTGACACGTGGCAAGACCGAGGAGCTGTACAAGCTGGTCTACGACCTGCGTAGTCTTAACCGCGTGATCACCGACCTGGACAACCTGCGCATCAGCATCACCGACGTGGACCATGTGCTGCAGGCCAGTCTAGGATCGTCTGAGTCTGCTCGCTGCGAGGTGCCCATCGCACACCGCAACATACTCGAGCGACTCGTCACGCTCATCCGCAGCGAACCATCGATCCTGGCCGACACACTATTCCGCGCCGGCTACCTCGACGGTAACTGCGACCGCAACATCAAGACTTCTTTCTGCGATCTGTCACAGGCCATCGTCTTCTCAATGTTTGGCAACTGTTGCACGGCCACTGACGAGCGATTGCTCCTCGCACTCATCAAGCGTGTTGTCGAACTCGAGTTTGCACACTTTGATGCTGCCAAGCGCGACACGAATGTGGATACTGCTTCGGTGGAGGGCGAACGAACCACACAGGACAAGCAATCCTTTGGTCTTCAAGAACACTTCTCGCTCACATTGCTGTCAACATACCTGCGCCACACATTTGGGCAACCTTACATCAGTGCCGTGCTCAAGGAGTTGGTAGTGTCCATCATCCAGGATCACAACATGAACTTGGAGAGCGACCCACAGAAGAAGCCCATGCTCGCAGTCATTGGCTTCGAAGTAGCGCCCGACATTGACGAGCTGGCGCAGCTGCAGCGCTTCAGTGGCGAGTTCCTGCATCGCACGATGGCCATGTCGGCCGGCCTTCCATTCGGCATGCGCTGGACATGTAAGCTGTTGCTGCAGCTCTATCGCCAACATATCAAGGAGACACGCCCCGAGGCCGACCCGCGCGTCGTGGCTGGCGAGGAACGCGAGCTGATCATCAGGCTGGTGTACGACAACTTCTTCATCCCGGCACTGATCAACCCCGATCGCAATGGCCTGCTCACGGGCCTGGGCATCAGCCAAAAGATGCGTCACAATCTCAACAAGATTGCGCGTACCGCTCGCCAGTTCCTCAGCAGCCCACACGAGATCCCCGCATGGCTCAACGAGTCCATGAGCCTGGAGCAACGTCTGAGTGAGTACTTTGCCGAGATACCCCTTGTCGAGGAGCCAGAGACCTACTTCAACCGCCCGGTATACGAGGCGGAGATGGGCCAGCAACTGCTGGTGTCCTCCACGGACCTGTTCATTGTGATGGAGTTGATATATCAGAACACTGGAGACAACATGTCTGCTGCGGCAGTGGAGGCTGTGGCCAAGATCAAAGAGGTACAGGGTGCTGCCAACCTACAGGATGGCATGCGATTCCTTGTTCTAAACGTGCAGGCACGCAACAAGACGCAGGGAGGTCAAGGCCAGAAGCCCAAGATTGCCCAAGAGGTACTCCTGGCCAAAGAAAACCTGACCCTTGTCCTTGTCGTACTCAACTCACTCTGTGGCTACATGTTCTCGACCAACACTTGCGAGTTACTTCTTCTCCAATCAGGTGTAAGTTTGCCCCCCCTCCCCTGTGCCTGGAACTATTCCAGCCTCATTCAATCATTCACTCGATCACTATCTACGCACTCAATCACTCACCAAACTTCCATTATCAATCAAAATCAAACTCAAACTCAAACTCAAACTCAAACTCAAACTGGAATGATTCCAACACTCACTTACACACTCAATCAATCAATCAATCAATCAAAACAGAGAAACAGGAGTATGGATGTTAATATATTGGACGCACAGATTGAGGAGACGATACGTAGTCTTTGGGCATTGCCAGAGAGTTACAAGGAGAATGATTATGAGATGTTGATTGAATTGCTGTTCGAGGACTACCGCGCCAGACAGGAGCGCAATGAGATTGACCGCAAGATAAGACTGGTCTATCTCGATCAGCTGCAACGCATAACCTCGCAAGTGATCTCACAGAAGAGTGCCTGCATAGAGTACATCAACAATCAAAAGTTTAGGATGTTCCGCGATGTATACACGAGATTGCAAACAGAGTTTGTCAGCGAGTTTATGTCTAGGTTCTCAATCGACACTGGATACTGCTCCTGTTGTCCCAACATCAATGAGGATCAGGCACGCATCTGCGAGACCTGTTGTACCAAGTCCACAATGGTGGCCACATTCTTCAAACGTACCATCGACGCCATCGAGAAGCATGATCTCTGGAAGGATGCACCTCAAGAAGAGTTGGACATTGCCTTGTGCACACTCGAGAGGAACCTGATGACACAGATATACAACTAGTATGTACATCCCCTTCAATCAATCAATCATGGTCTCCACCAACACTTCACTCACTCCCCTACCCTTACCACCCTCAGCTCATTCCATGTCTCAACAGATGATGTCCAACTCACTGATCTGTTGCGATCCAGATCGTCTATGATTGATTTGCAAACATTGGAGATTCCGGCCAAGTATGCCAATCAGGCACCATGGAAGCTGGCACAACAAGGTATGTTTGAATGTCAAGACCAGGCCAAGGCCAGGCTAGGTCACGCCAGGCTAGGTCACGCGACTAACATTATGTTCCATCCAATTCCAATTCCAGAACTTACCAAGCTTAACCTGTACAAAACACCTCACGACAAGCTCAAGTGTGTAATAGACACTTGGAACATTATTCTAAGTATGTGTCGATCGATCAAGCAATCAAACTCACTATTACTCACTCAATCAATCTTACTCACTAACTCATTCAATACTTATTAGACTATACCAAACCATTGGGAGACTGTGGAGCAGATGACTATCTGACTATCATGGGCTATGTAATTTTAAAGGCAAAGCCAGACCATATACTGTCCAACGTCCAGTACATCTCACTCTATATCACTCAACTGGATCCTTCGATTGAGAAGTGGTTCACCTACTTCAAGACCTCTGTGGAAATGGTACGAAGTGTACTGGATGGAGTTGGAGGCGATGATCCTGGCTGGGTAGAAGGTGTGATCAAGCCCACACGATAGATAGATAGATAGATAGATAGACAGGACAAGACAATTCCAAAGACACACAAGTTTGAATTTGGTTCCATAAATTAACTCATCTTCGCAACCCACACTCACACTCACATGACTCCATCTCAATCTCTCGCAAGTTCATTCATTCAAAGTGTTACATACTTATATATATACATATACATATACATATATATTTGACAGAGAGAATGACGAAGCCAAAGAGAAAGACATCATCTACGGCACAACATACGTCAAATGTATCTAATGGACATAATGGCAATGGCAATGGCAATGGCAACACGATGCCTGGCGCGATACCAATGCAAATGCAAATGCCAATGCCACCACCCGATCACCTACACCATCATCATCATCAACATACTCACACACATCAACATCAGCATCAACAACTACATCAACAACATCATCTACAGCATCAACAACAACATAGACACAACCATACTCACATGTTACCTACCTCATCATCCCTATCATCATCATTATCACCTAATGCCACTGCAACAACGACAACATCACTCAAGAGTGTAGATCTGAATAGACATCGCAGCAAGCTGGCACAGAGCCTATCGCGAACGATCCCGCCATTTGTCATCTTGCGCGACTCACAGCGCAAGTTGTTGGCATCGAGCTTTGACAAGCTGTCGACGATCAATGAGAAGATTGAGGCGAGCATGCCCATGTGGCAGACGATAATCGATTCGAAACAGTCCAACATCGACACGTACATTCAATCGACCACCAGCACCATCTTGCAGGCGACCATACTTCAGAACCTTGCCGATGCAGCTCAGATACCACCGATCGAGCCCACATCCAAAGCGTTCAAGAACAAGGGCAACGAGCTGTTTCAGAAGAAGCAGTACTTGGACGCACTGCTATTGTACAACGAGGCACTGCGACTGTACAACTCAGAGACGTCCAAGGATCAGCAGATACTCAGCACCATATACTCCAACCGATGTCTGTGTCTAGTGCATCTGGAGAAGTTTGAGGAGGGCGCCAGCGAGGCTACGCGCGGCCTTGAATGTCGCTCTGCCGAGTACCTCACCCACAAACTACTGTATCGACGTGGTATCTGTTACTTCAGTCTCAAGAAGCACGCTCGCGCCAAGAAGGACTTCCAAGAGGCGCACCGCCTCGTATCGATGATGTCTGATCCCTCGGACATCCAATCGATCGAGGGCTACCTCGAGAAGATCAACAAGATGAAGACACTGGACTCTGGCGACTCTGACACAGCCGACAACCAAAGCGCATTCCCTTCTGAAGTGGACCAGCGTATCACCTTCAAATACAGTTCGGACAATGTTGGTCGAATGGCTGAGGCATCCGAGAACATTGCCGCCAACACCGTCCTATTCCAAGAGAAGGCCTATGTATCATGTCTCGAGCGATCATCACATTCATCACATTGCCACAACTGTTTCAAAGAGATATTCGCGCCAATCTAGTAAGTTACATGATGATCTAGCATGTCCAACCTGAACGACTAATACTCATTCATTCATTCAATCAGTTGTAAGAAATGTAATCATACTCAGTACTGCAGCGATACATGTCTGAAGGATGACTTTGACAACTTCCACGAGAGAGAATGTTGTCGTGGATTCTTGTTGCTGTGTCCATCGGAGAGTCTGATAGTCATTCGCATCCTTGCAAAGAAGGCCAAGGAACAAGCAAGATTCGAGAAGCCAGACCTCCATTACATACCAACACACGATGGCTTCAAGTTCCCTCAACAATCAAAGACATCCAAGGCGGCCAAGCAGCTCAGTCCACCATCGGCAGCCGATCTGAATAGCGAGTTGCTGGACAACATACACATCGAAGAGTCCGAGTCACAGGACGGCGAGCCACTACTGTACAAGTCCAACATCTACCATCCAACATACAACCTGATCTACTCTTTCAATCCACACTACACACATCATCCCAACAGCAAGCTGGCCAGCATCATCTTTGAAGCATTCATTCTGGAGCGATTCCTACAAGTGCATCACAAGAGTCTGGGTGTAATCAAGGACGATATCAGCATGGCCACGCTCGTACATCATCTTTGCCAACTATCGACATACATCTTCTCCATTCCCGTGTACGTTGCACAGGATGACATCTGCCAGCATGGACTTCAACGCTTCATCCCAGTCAAGATAGCATATGCCATCTTCCCAATGGCCAGTTTACTCAATCATTCATGTGACAACAACACTCTGTTGCAATACAATGGAACATCATTATACATTAAGTAAGTCATTAGTTGAGTGAAGAGTGGATGTTGTTGGCACTTATCCTAACCAACTACTATTTTCTCATGCTTGAACTCAGGTCACTTAAGGATATTGAGAAGAAAGAGGAAGTTACTTTGTGCTATGGACCTCACTCATTCCATTTGGACCTCCAGCATCGACTGGAGTCCCTCAGGGATGAATACTACTTCACATGTAGATGTAAAGCGTGCAATGAGTATGTGCCTTCTTTACTCCCTAGTCACAACATCATCCTTACTCACCATCAATCAATCGATGATTCAATCACCTTTAGGAAATCTGGACCCAATCCACTAAAGTGTCCAGTTATGGGTACAAACTGTCCAGGTGTATTGTTGGAGACAGTTAACATGACAAAGCAGCCTGATGATGATGACGATGAGGAGGATGTTACATACGAGGTGTACGATGGCAGAACATTCACTTGCAACAAATGTGGCTTTGAATTGGAGCCAGATGATCTCTTTTTCCTCACATCAACCTCTCTAATGTCGATCACAATGTTCAACAATGCCGCAAGGATACTCAACAGCGGACAGTCCAACAAAGAGGTTGAGGACTTGTTGTTACGCGCACTGGAAATTCGAAAGAATATCTACATGGAGAACAGTAAGAAGATAGGCGAGATCTACGACACTCTGGCGCGTTTCTATATCACCGAGGACAACTACAAAGAGGCGGTCAAGTATGCTGAGAAGTCAGTCAACAACATATATGTCAGACTGGGACATTCACACTCGACAGAGTTGGCTCGCGAGTGTGCCAAGCTGGCCAACATATACATTAATGGAGGCGAGCCAGCCAAGGCCATCAAAGCAATCAACACAGCAGAGATATTGTTGATGCGCTGGAAGACTGAGCCTGGCGACGAGGAGATATTGAGCCAATTGCGCAATCACAAGAAGGTTTTGGAGGCATCCAAGGTCATTCCCGGTACAAACAAGGTTGAGATCAATCTCACACAGCTCTGGTCACAGCCAGACTTTGACTCGGACACCTTCCTCCATCGCATGATCCTGTATCATGGCTCACATGGTCAGGCTCCAAACAAGTGATCGATCGCACGCACGAACGCCACTTCACTTTATCCGACCACGAATGATGTAAATAAAGAGCTAGACTTTATTGGCTGTTGTCATTATCGATGTGACAAGCTTGGTTATCATCAATTACCTCTGGAGAAGCATCGCCATGATCATTGGGATAGGCATCGCATGTACTCTCGATCATTGGCTTATCTTGGTCCTGGACATGCTCGACAGGAAGGTCTACCTTCTCCTTTCTCCTGCGCTTCTTGTGCTCGCCCTCACCCTTGATGGGAGCAGGAGGAGGGGGATCATGTGTATGTCGCCCGCTGTAGGTGTTGATAAACTTAGTGTCGCCTTGCTGCACCACTTGTCGCTTGACATTGCAGCCTCGTTCGGAACATTTGAAATAGCTCTTGGGGAAAGGACTGCCCTTGACTGCCTTCTGGCCGTACTTCCTCCAGGTGAATCCGTCGTCCATATAGTCGACCAACGATGATGTCTCGATGACCAGCTTCGGATGTGATTTTGTCGAAGGTGATGGGTGCATTGTTTGTTGTTGTGATTGATTGCTGTTGTTGCTATTGTTGTTGTTCTGTACAGTCGTGTTGTCTGTGCCCTTTGAATGTGGCTGTACTTCCTGCTTGATGATTATATCATTGGTAGATGAAGAAGTTGATGTCGTACTAGTAGTGGTCTTTGTCGTTGTCGTCGAGGTTGTCGATGTTGATGTCTGTTTGATTGAGACAGGTTTGGTTTGTTTGGATTGTTCATTGTCTTCTTCTTCGTCCGTCATCTCCCTGTCCATGTCATCATCTCGCTAAGGTTTGTTGGCCATCTGATTAGTAACAAGCTGACGATTGAGGAAAACAATGGGTGAGAATGAATACATACGACAACACCTTCAGATATGACAGAGTTCTTGAATGAGTCCTGATCGTTGACATTGACTCTTGTGGTAAGAGGTGAGCCATGAGTGTGCTCTCCTTTGTATTGGATGTGGAACTCGTCACTATCAGCTCGCTTCTCCAATTGCTTCTTGACCTTGCATCCAGGATATGTACACTTGTAGTAGCTCCTGGGGAATGACGTGCCCTTCACATTCTTCTGACCATACTTTCGCCATTGATATCCATCCGATGAGATTGTACAGTGATACTGGGATGACTTCTTGCTGTTTCCATGTACTCCATCACTAATACCACTACTACTGCTTCCAGTTGCCGCTGCTGCTGATGCTGTCGCAGTCACTGATGGACTTGAGGTGGTCGACGAACTTGTCGTGGCTTTGGGCTTCTCAATGGGCTTGGATGGTGTCTGGATTTGCAGGGTTGGCTTTACGCCTGTGCTAGGTCTTATGTACAATGGCAAAGAGGACGTGCCAACGGATGGCATTGATGGCTTGAACGACGATGTGGAGTGGGGCGAGGTGGCGCCACTGGCCGAGGAAGACGTGGACAGTCTGGGGAGTGAAGGGGGTGTATCCTTGAGTGTGTGCAGTGATGGTGATGACGAGGTCGGAGTGGATGAGCAAGACGACGCCGACGATCTTGATGGTGATACACTGCCACTTGTAAAGAGTGTTGATGGAGGTGATTGAGGAGACATTGGCGAATGCAACAGAGGGATTGAATGTATAGGTATTGGCTTGGAGGAGTGACTGTAGAATGGCGGTAGTCTCTCAAACTGTGAGCCGCCCACTGAGGACTTTCCTCCTCCTCCATTGAGTGCAGGCAGTAGCATTGTATCCAATTCCTCCATTCCAGGAATGATTGTGCCATTCTTTGATGATGCTCCAGAAGATGATGATGACGATGCAATGGTTGATGTTGTTGTCGTAGTTGTGGACACTGCATCGAGCAATGTGTCCATTGGTGAATCAGACTCGGTTCGATGCGTCAGGTCATGTGATGATGACTTCTGTTGTGATCTCCTGACCGTTGACACTGCGGTTGGCCATAGCTTGTCCAATGTTGATGACCAATCCGGTAACTCATGATCCTCCCTTCGGTAATCTCTTTTTCCAATATTAGTATTGTTGTTGTTGTCGTTGACATTGTCCAATGTTGATGATGATGAACTGTTTAATGACTCAATGAATGAGTTGGTGTGAAGTGATGATTTGAGGCTTGACTTGCCATTGGCCTTCTTGTTGTTGCCATGCTTTCCATTGCCACTGCCATTGCCATTGCCATTGCCACTGCCGTTGCCATTGTGTTTGTTATTGCTACTATTACTATGTTGTTGTTGACTATAGGGGTGATGTCTGTTTGGACTTGATGGCATACTTCGTTGTGAACTACTGGTGGTCGATGATGATGTCGTAGTCAATGTCATCAAAGATGATGATGATGATGCAGATGGGAAGATCGTCTTGTCAGGCGATAGTGTAGGTGAATGAGGTTCATGTTGTTGTATTTGTTGTTGTAATTGTTGTGGTAGTTGTATCTTATTTAGTTGTTGTTGATGATCATGAAGTTGTTGAAGTTGCTGTTGTTGTAATTGTTGATGTTGTTGATGTTGTTGTTCAATTGACTGATGTACTTTGTGATAGAATACTATTTGACCATCATTACTCTTTGAATTTGAATCAGGCCGACTATCTAATAAATGTTGTACGAATGATATGTCCACAGGTCTGTTGCCTCCTCCTCTCTGACTATAATATTGTTGTTGTTGTTGCTGCTGACTTGGAGTTGTAGTATCACCAGTGGCCGATGTACCATCTGTTGATTGAGCTGCTCCCATTCTCTCTCTTATTATCTCTCTCTCTTATATATATATCAATGTATCTTTGAGTTAACTAACTAAACTTAGTGTTAATTGTACCTTTGACCAGTAGGTCCAACTGTAGAATGACTCTTGAAGTGGTCTGCGGCACACAAGAACACAGTAAGTAATGACTTCATCAAGTCAGTGGGAGAGAAAGAGAGTGAGTTGAATGATTGTATGAATGAATGATAGTATGAATGAATGAATGGATGGGTGTACTGAATGATTGATTGGTTGATTGGGCGAAATTAATGAGGGTAGGGCAGGAAGGTAGGCAGTTGAGAGAATGAGTGACTTGGTGAGAATGAATGAATGAGTGAGTGAGTGAGTTCCCAAAGGGCTGTTGCTGATGTTGATGTTGATGTTGCTATTGCTGCTTTGATGTAAAGTTGAGTTATAAAGTACGCTCCTTCCTTATTGTATAGGTCCTCCGCAACACGTGTCTTTAATGAATGATTGAATAAAGTTATATATCGACGTGGGATGTTGTGTGTCTGTGTCTGTGTGTGTAATTATGTGTTTGTGTCTTTAATGAAAGTAGGCTCAACAGTGTTATGGCCTGGAGATGTGTGTGTATGGGGTTGGTCTTCAAAGACTTGCGAGAGTTTGACTTTGTCAACCCCCTTTTATATTATGTGTGGGTGGTGTGAAGTACGTGTTGTGTTGGTTTGTTTGTGTAGATGAGTGTGATACAGTTGATTATTCCCTGTCTGGTCTTGAGTGAATGAACAGTATGAAGTAATATAAGAGTGGTTTATATCACTCACTCATTCAATGTATGATTTATAATAATATAGATTTAATATATAAAATGTTAAATTGACCAACCAGAACATTCTGAATCAATGTTCAAGTTCAAAATAGTATTGTACACATAGACACAAACATCTTCATCTTTTAATCATCATTGTGTAGAACCTTCAACAACATACAAATAAAAAGATAAGATATTAATTCGCCCAATAATATAATAAACGTTGAATGTAAGTAAGAATGAATGAATATCTTATTTTGAGAGATAATTATATTTATTTATTTCCTTGTTCTCTTGTTACTCTTTGTCTTCTTGTTACCATTTGACTTGTTGTTGTTGTTGTTGAGTAGATATGATTCGGATTGTATCTTGCTCTCTTTGGTCTTGGTCGTTGATGTAGAAGTTGTCGAGGAAGAAGACGTTGGAACACCTTCAAAGAATGAATAAGATTGATTGGCTTGAATATCCTTGCGCAGATATGACATGGCCGAACGATTGAATCCAATTGTGTCCTTTGAGTGTTGAAGTCGCACCTTGATGCCATCGTTCAATCGCTTCAGCAGTGGTACCATCTCCACCTCAGTTGACAGCTGATTGTGATGCGTCTGCACCAGGAAGAACAGACACTTGCTGATCAGCTCGGTGTTCTTGCCATGATCCAGCCACTCGCAAAAGTATGTGAACAGAGGCTTGAGCGTCGAGTAGGGGAGGACGAGCAGCGCCTCCTCCAACTCACTGGCGCGCACCTTGGCCACCCTGGTCCACAAATACTCGCTGTGGGCCATACCAAACAACAGGATGTTGGGCGTGAACTCGCCAACGTCAATGTCCTTGCTCAGTGCTGCGTCGTGTTCGGCCATTCTGCCGCGCTCAATCTCGGCCAGTGACAGCGCATCCATGATGGCCTCTCCGGCGATGATCGTCTCGAGCGTCTTCTTGTTGGCCGAGGCATGCTCCTCCAGCATCTCCTTGGTACGCATACGTGGTGTCTCGTCCTCCAGTGTGGTCTCCCACTCCTTCTCCAGAGTGGCCTGCTTCTCGGACTCAACAAACACCGGCTCGGTAGTCTGCTTGAACACACGGATCGAGCGATCGTGTGAGCCTGTGAGGAAGAATGTGCCAACCGATCCCATGGCCAGCGCCCAGACCTCGCCGTGATGCGCCTGTACCGTCTGAATGTGCTCAAACTTGTCGGCGTCCCAGTACTTGATGCGCTTGTCTTTGGAAGTTGAGATGAAATGATGTGTCTTGGGTATGAACGCCAGCTGCATGATGGAGTCGTCGTGTGCAAACAGGGACTTGTGGCAGTCACCATAGTCCAGACCCCAGATCTTGATATTCTTGTCGGCAGAGCCGGTAATGATGAGCGTCGAGTCGTCGCTGATGTCCATGGACATCACTGGCAGCTTGTGGCCGTACAGGGAAAGATGGAAACGGAGCGTGTCGCTGTGGAATATCTTGACGGTGTTGTCCAGCAGTGAGACGGCCAGGAAGCGGTTGTCCTTGCTGAAGCGCACGCACATCACGTCGGCCTCGCATTGTAGTGTCTGCGACTCCTTGAGCGTGAGGCGCTTGGCCTTGGGGTTGTCCTTGACGGCGTGCAGCTCAAAGTTCCAAAACTTGACGGTCTTGTCGCTGCCGCCCGAGACGACGCCGCGCAGGTCTGGTGTAAGGGCCAGCGACCAGATGGCGCCAGAGTGTGCTTGGATCGATGCGACGTGCTCGGCGCTGGCCAGCTCAAACACCTCGAGTGTGCCAGTCTTGGTGCCGACGACAATGTGCAGGTTGCCCGGCACAAACAGGCAGCACAGACCATACTCGCATGCAAAGGTTCTGATGCAGTTCAACGTCTTGACGTTCCAGATCTTGACCGAGTCAGATGAGGTTGATGCCAACAGTGCGTCGTTGGTGCTCAGTGATAGTGCACGGACGTCTGCACGATGACCTGCGGCGTCAAGTGTGGCTGTGACCTCTGAACCCTCGTCCTTGATCTCATAAGCCTGAACAGAGTTACCCATCAATGACACTATATACATGTTCCAATGCTTCTCGCTTCCAAAAGAGAAGCCTCTGATCTTTGACGATGTCTTGACCGTCTCTGTGTGGCTATACTCATCAAGTACATTAACATCTGCAGTAGAGTAAGTTGTTAGTGAATGTGCTGGCTCGCGACGAGACATGCTAGATGTGGGTACATACCTTGTCTGCTCTCTTTCCTGAGCTTCTCGTCTAGTTGCTTGGTGGAGGTGATCTTGAACAGGTCCAGGAACTTGCCGTTGGACTGGGCCATGAGGACGCGATTGGTTGGGTCGAACTTGATACCATTGTATGACTCTCCCTTGCATGGAATAGTTCCGTAGAACTTGGCCACCTCAATCTCTGACGACTGATCCTCAATGTCCTCCTCGTCGGCGCCAGGTGTGCCGGGCTCCTTCTTAACCTTGATCTCCTTGGCCACACCATTACCGTTGCCATTGCCATTGGAGTCGTCGTCATCCAATGTGTTGACTGCCGCGTTGATAGGTTGATTAACTGTATACTTGTATCTGTTGCTAGTGTTGTCATTTGAATGATCCAATCGCCAACATCTTATAAGGTTGTCGCTTGTGACCGAGACGAGTCGGGTCTCGCTCGGGTTGACATCGATGGCCCACACAGGGTTACGATGGCCAACGATCGTCTGTATGCAGTGCTGTGTCTCTAGCTCCCAGATCTTGATCAGACCGTCCTTTGATGACGTGACCAGATGGTTGGTCTTCTCGAGCAGCTTGGCGCCTGTGACCATGTCGCGATGTCCACGCAGACGGTACAGACCACTCTCTGTGATGATGTCCCAGACGATAGCCTCGGTATCGCGCGAGCCCGACACCAGCATCGAGCCGAGCGAGTTGAACTCCAGACAGCTGATGGCGCCGCGATGTCCATTGAACACAGACAGCATCGTGGCCGACTTGAGGTTCCACAGACGGATCGAACCGTCGGTGTGTCCGGCGGCCAGCAATGATGCGTCGCGTGACAATGCCAAACATGACACCTCTGATGTACAATCTTCATCGAATAGCCATCTCTCTAATGCTGCTCTCTTTAGGTTCCACACTCCAATGCGCTCGCCACAACCTGTTATACACATCTTTGCACTTTGATCAAACAATGACAATGTGCTCGCTATCACTCCAAACATGTCCTGTTGGACATATTTCAAATATACTTTCACCATTGTTATGTATTATTATTATATTATATATATGTATTTAAAGTATAAGTATGAAAGAGTGAATGAATGATAGTTTTGTCGCATCAATCGTCAATCATTTTGAAATTCGTGTTGTGTTCAAAAAACGAACGAGGATGTCCCATAAACTAACAATTTCAAACTCATCAGAATTCTATTTGTGGTAATAAGAGTTGTCCCTCGTGCACCTGATAGCTAATCAATTGATTGAGTGATTGTTAGTGAGTGCCAAAGTACATTGCCCATGTCAAGGCCAAAGTACCAAAACAAATATTATTACATGTACCAGAGAGATAAATTGTAAATTTGAATGATTGAATGAATGATTTAGTTTGATGAAGTGTACTTGCTTGTCAACCAGAATGAATCGTGGACTTCATTCCTTTGATCACCGACAAATTCAAAGTAGAGGTTGGTGGTGTTGGCGTAGAATCGTGTGTATCCATAGTTCATCGTGCGGAAGATTGAAAAGTCGGGCTGCACTTCATATCCATCTCCGTCGTCATCCTCATTGGTGATCCACCATGGTGCTTGATATGTGTTTCCAGCCATGCCAATCAGCACGTGCACGGGGGCATCGTTGTCAGACTCGGCACAAGTCCAGTTGCCAGCAATGCCACACATCCTCTCATATGCGTGGTCGTGACCCCACAGCGCCAGGTTGACGTCGTACTTGATGATCAGCGGCTCGATGTTGAGCAGGATGTTTGTGTACATTCCAGCCTCATCCTCTTGCGCCTCTGAATCATACATTGGCCTGTGAGCAGAGAACACGAGCCAGGGGGTCTTGGTGCGATCGATCGTGGCCATGTCCTGCTCCAGCCATTGGTATTGCGGCGAGCCGATCGTGAAGTCGTGCTCGAAGCTTGCTTGGGTGAAGTGAATCGGACCATTGTCGTATGAGAACCAGATGTTCTGGCTGGGCATGCCCTCGGCGCCAGGCATGTGGAAGCGCGCGTTGTAGGGCACGCCACACTCGCCACCACTGTCGTGGCCATAGTCGGCCCACTCAGGCATGAATGGTGCCCCGTAGTAGTCGTACTCGTGGTTGCCAATGCTCACCATGTAGGGTGCCATGGCGGCGGGGCCTTGGATGGCCTCGTGCCAAACGTCCCAGATGTAGCCGTAGCCACGAGCGTAGCTCAGATCACCAATGTGCAGCACAGACCATGGTGGCGGGATGTTGTCGCCAGTGGGCGATGACTTGCCAAGCTTGCGAGCGAGTGGTGAGTGAGAGTATGGTGCTGCGATGGTCTGGTAGACGTTGGCCATTGTCTTGCTGGCGGGCACCTGGATGTCGAGGAAAGTCCATTTGAATGGAGGGTTGACGCCCATATCACCAAAGGCGATTACATAGGCTTCAGTGCCAACCTTTGGAGCTGACACAAAGCTGTAAGTCTTTACACTGTATCCACTCATCTTGCTGCCGAATGAGTAATAGTACTGAGATGACTCCTTCAATCCTGTCATGACCACATCATGAATGAAGCCAGGGTTCCTAAAGAAGCGTGGATCATTAGCCGGCGAATCACACATATGAGTGATGTTATAAGTCTTTGATGTTCCCGAAGCGACCAATGACAATGTATTCCTTGTTTGATTGGAGTGATTGATTGAATGAGTATGAGTATGGGTTGGCGTTCGCGCGCACACACTGATGAGGGACTTACGGTGAGTCGCCGTAGTAGACGTAGGGAGTGTCGTCTGTGCCACTGATCCACATTAGACGCATCTCGCTAGTGTGATTGGTGAGTGCTAGGTATGGCTTGGTGGGCTCGTTAGGGTTGAGAAAGGTGACATTGTTGCTGGTGGACGCGAGGGTGAGGTTGGCACCAGCCCAGTTGACAACGGGTGGCACATCACCTTTGATCCAAAGACGGAACACGTAGGTGTCGCGCACGTTGACCAAGGGGAATGTTACCGAACCATATCCATTACGCCATGTTGTTGTAGAGTTTGATGTGTAGATGTAACCAATTGGTGAGTCCAAACCCGAGTCCACTGGATAGTAAATAGCAATTACATCGTACTTTGTTGGACTTTCCACACCCTTCCATGTAATCGTTATCAAGTCACTTGATGTCTCCAACACCTCTGGCAATGCTCTCATTGTCACACTCGAGTCCATTCCATTGGCCAAGTAGCTGCAGCAGATGGCCATCATCAACATCATCAGACAAATGTTGTTTGCCATGTTTGATTGATCTATCGATTGAATGATTGATTGAATGTATCTGTTTGAATGACTGTTTGAAGTGAAAGATATGAGTGGACCTTGATGAAGTGGAGTGTCCAAAGTAAGTCAGTGCAAGTGACCACAACAATCAATCAATCACACAAGTTATCGAAGGGACCTGGACCCTCCTTGAGTCCTAGTCCCGGGTCCGCCCATTACCTGACCCGAAATTTCATTGTTGGTTGTTTGGAACCATAGACTGATCATTATGACACCAACAACAACAACAACAATAAAGATCTCCTTCAAAAAGTGATCATAGTTTTTTTGGTCTTGCGCAAAATCATTTGTTTGATCAGTCCCATAATGCGAGTCAGGGGTATGCTTGACTTTTTACCGAAGTTGTTGGATTTATGTAGACTTTAAGGCAAAACAGACCCCGTAGCTGAATGACCTGGGTGTCGCGGCGACGTCTACACTTAACAAGGTGTCAAAGGGATGCCATACTAGAACTCATCCACCATTCATTTGAACAACATATAACTTACCATGTTTTTCATCCATTCAGGTCGGAACATTCCAATCAACTACAATCTAATCTAAACTAAACTAAACTAAAATGATAAACAAACAATTGCAACAACAAGTTCATCGAGAGTTCGTATACGTGGATGAATGAACAAGTGATTGGTCAGTCGAAGGAACCCGAGAAAGGGTTGCTCTGTCAAAGAACCAAATTTAAAACATCTGCGCGATTGATGATGATGTCAATCTTGTCATTGACAATGGCTTTACTTAACCTCGTCCATTCCACGATTATATTACTCATACTTTATTCTGACTCGTAATCAGTTCGAGAGTTTATTAATAATCTCTGTGTCTGTCTGTGTCTATCTCTTTCTTTCATTGTTGTTCATACATCAACATGAAGAACTTAATGAATGAATGAAGTAATGGGCAAACATGTTATGTGTTTGTTTGGGGCTAGAACCCTTCGATGGAAAGGTGTGAACTTTGGTTTGGAATCGAGTTCTATTTATAAACAAAGGGTAGGGGAACACGCCTTGTGTCCTTCCTAACCCTGTCCAACCACGAACCTTCCGGCCGGAGAAGTAAAGACAAGGTTATTAATATCACTACAACTACTTATTGATTCTACCAATCAATCATTCAATCAATCGATCAATCAAACAGATACACAATAATGTCAACTTTCCGTAACATCATTGCCAAGGGTACTTCATTCCCACCAGAAGCCAACCGCTACCATCTCTACATCAGTTTGTAAGTGTCACCTGTTTGATGCCAACCCTTACCCTAACCCTAACCCTAACCCTCACACACACATATACACTATCACAATCAATCTCAACTACACAGGACATGTCCATTCTCTAGCAGATGTAACATTGTTCGTAAGCTTAAGGGTCTGGAGAGTGTAGTTGGTATGAGTATCACTGGACCAATAATGCATATGGATGGTGGATGGAAGTTTGAACCAGAGATTGAGGGTTGCACACCTGATCAGATTAATAACTGTGCCAGTATCAAGGATATATACTTGAAGGTGAACCCATCCTACTCTGGCTCCTACTCAGTGCCTCTACTATTCGATACCAAACAGGGTACCATTGTAAACAATGAGGCTGGTGAGATTATGAGGATGCTCAACTCTGAGTTCAATGAGTTTGCTGTCGACCCCAACCTTGACCTCTCTCCCAAGCATCTAATCCCTGAGATGGATTCACTCAACACCTTCATCTATGACAACATTGGATATGGTGTCTACAAGTGTGGTCTCTCCCCAAACCAACCTGCTTGTAAGTACCATGGAACTACTCCAATCACTCCACTCACTCACTCAATCAATCCCCTGATCATCCACTTACACTCCCCTCCCATTCATAGACGACAAGAACATTGATAACTTGTTCAATGCCCTCGACACGATTGAGAAGCGTTTGACAACTTCCAGATACTTGATGGGCAATGTGTTCACAGAGGCTGATATTAGGTTGTTCCCAACTTTGGCTAGGTTCGACGCCGCCTACTACTTTGTGTTCAAGTGTAACGTCCAGAGAATCCAGGACTATCCAGCACTGTCCAACTACTTGCGTGAGCTATATCAGATGCCCAAGCTCCGCGAGTCTGTCAACTATGATCACATCAAGCGTGGTTACTTTGGAGCCAAGATGGTGAACCCATCTGGCGTCGTCGCCAGAGGACCCAAGCTCGACTACCTCAATGAGCCACACAACAGGGCCACAATCGGCCAGCACACCGACTAATCCAATCTGTCAATCAATCAATCAATCAATCAATACAATGAAGCTAACCTTGAGTTCTCATTCATTCTTTCATTCGCGTTGACGTCCACACATCCACTGGATGATGTTTATTGCTTGGACAACCTGCTCTGGTAGGCCTCCCAGGCGGCCTCCTTGTACTTGATGGCCTCAACCTTTGGTTGGGAGTTCTGGTAGATGCCTCTGCCGACAATGATGACATCGGTACCCTTCTCCTTGATGATGTAGTCTGGGGTGTTGTATTGCTGTCCCATGCTGTCGCCCTTGGAGTTGAATTGCACGCCTGGGGTCATCAGGACGAACGAGTCGGTCATCGACTCCAAACGCTCCTGGCAGATGAATCCCATGACGGCATCAGCGTTCTGCTTGGCCATCTCGACCATCTGATTAGTGTACTCTCCAACGCACAGTGATCCCTCTGTTAGATAGGTGATTAGTTGGTTGGTTAGTCATGTGATTGGAGGAGGGGGAATGGGAGAGGAGTACTCACTTGAGGACATCTGGGCAAGGAGCAACAGACCAGCACCAGTCTGCTTGATTGAATCCTTGAATCCATCAATGATGGCTGGACCAGCAACACCGTGGATGGTGACCATGTTGGCCCACTGTTGATGATTATGATGATGACAAAGTGTCGCGCGGAGCATTAGTGATATGAGGACTAGTAATGTCTGTCTGTGTCAACTACCTACCTTGGAGATGTGATAGACACCACTCTCGAACTGATACTTGACAGTGTTACCAATGTCAGCGAACTTTCTATCCTCCTGTTATTGATTGATTGATTGATCGTGTGATCAAGTGATGATGGTCAGTATGATGAGTTGCGTCCACGCCACTAGTGCCCGTCCGAGTACTTACAAAGATGAGGAAGTTATGCTTGGTGGCAATGAGTTGGAGCTGGTTGACAAAGTCTTGATCAAAGTCGTCGATGATGTCAACGTGAGTCTTGAGGGCACAGATCTCTGAGCCAATGCTGTCGGCCAGCGAGAGGACCTCCTGTTTTGTGGTGAGATCGACGGCGACGGCAAGGTTGGTCTTCTTGGCGGCCATGATGTTGAAGAGCTTGGCGGCGGTTGGGTTGGTGGCCAGCTTGGCGCGCTCCTCATAGGCGATGTGCTTGCGAGCGACTGGGATCTGCGAGGCGACTGGCACGGTGACGTTGCGGTTGGCCTCGAGGAAGGCGCTGACCAGCTCGAGGGTTGGGCCGTCAAGCTTGCCCTGGGCAGTCAGGGTTGAGATAAGCTCCTCCATTGTGACGACGCTGTGCAGACGCAGGCCGTGCTTGGCGAGCTCCTGGCGAGCGCCTTGCTGGCGGTCGAGCAGCACGACGACATCGGTGACGACGAGGCCGTTGGCGTTGAGGTCGCGCACAGTCTCGAGCACGGAAGCACCACTTGTGACCAGATCCTCAATGACGAGGACGTTGTCGCCCTCCTTGAAGCGACCCTCGATCAACTGCTTGGTGCCGTAGGCCTTGGCTTCCTTGCGACGCATGACCATTGGGATGTCGTGGGCGATGGACATTGCCGTGGCGATTGGCAGGGCGGTGTAGGGCACGCCGCACACCAAAGGTGGGATGGCGGCGCTTGACGACACCTTCTGGTACATCATCTCTGCGATCTGTGCCAACAATGCTGGCGAGCTCACAGTGACACGCAAGTCGATATAGATTGGTGACATAATGCCACTCTTCAGCTTGAACTGACCAAGTTTCACAGCGTTGATCTCGTGCAATCTTGATACCAATGTGTTTAAGTCCATCTCTATCTATCTTATATATATTTATATTATCTGTATGTATCTGTATCAATTTGTGAGTGCTCACTTTAGTTCTAGCTAATGCGCATAAAGTGCGTGGAATAGTGTGTGGTTCATTAGGAAGCTCACACACTCTGCACTTTGATTCGGAATGACCTTCGCCCGACTTGTCGTCTTTTGGGAAATTGAATTATTATTTATTTAATTATTAAATGATGTTAGTCGATAGTTGATCATTATGAAGTCAATCATTATTCAAACAGAAATTTGTAATATCTTGATTATTATTATGATTGAATGTTGATCATGCTGAGGGAAAACAAGAATGAGGGAAGTCAACACAACACTAGAGTGAGGGGTTTCTTGGACTGACCCAGTTCATTCAAACCAAGTCGACTTAACATACACATACACATACAAGATAACAACAAAAAGAATAATAAATGACATTACTTCTTCTATCTACTGGATAATATTGTTAGAGATGCTTGGAGGATAGACAAGGATTGGGCACTCACAACACTGACATTGCTCAATCATCACTATCATGCATTGATCGTGAAGTGCCTTGATAGTCTAATCATAGACCAATCAATAGTAGACTATTTCGAAGAAGGTAGACACTTGCGGCCATTCGCAATGATTGGCAAGACTCCACTGCAACATATACCCTTTGACATCTCTGGTGATGATGATGATGAGGTTAACTCAGTTAACAACGACATATTCAAACAGATCATCGTCGATGGAGTGTTGACATCGATCGATGGCACGGCAATTCAAGTGGGCAGAGTCATCTAAGTTCAACATCACATCTTTGACCAAGGCCGACATATCATTTGGTTTGGATGGTCAATATATGTTGGATGCTTCAATGTCCAGCATTGGTTGTGACAATCCAAACATTCGCGAACTGACCTTCATCACCCATGATTGTGGCAATGGTGAGCCAGATGATGTCTTTAAGGACTGCATGAAGGATATCTTCAGGAGTTACCGCAATCTCACGTCGCTAACCATCAAAAGCGAACGACTTAGATGGTTCGAGAGTTGGGAGAAAGCATCGACACTCAAATCTTTGACCAGTCTTCATCTTCATACTGATGTGATATGGAGAACGCGCTCACTCAAGTCCTACCTCGCGTCGCAGTCAACGATCAAGACACTCACATACTACAAAAGTAACACTAACTCAAAGGAGGAGAACACGCTGGTCCCATTCCTCTTCAGCTCAAAGTGCAACATAGACAACATATCAATCAATGTGTACTTTGGCGAACCATTGCCATTGGTTGAGCGAAGATTAAGATCATTGACAATGAGGCTATTTCACAATTATCAAACATACACATCTGATATGGACATGGTTCAATTGTAGCTGCGATTAAGATGTCCGATTACATTGTTATCTTTGTCGGTGATGATTATAATTATTCAGAGTATACATGGTCTTTGATCAAGGCGCTCACACCTAGTTCTTCCACCACAATCAGTTGGAAAGAGAGAGTCAATTGCTCTCAAAGAATTCCAATGACTCAAGAACATTTGGACAATGTGATTGCCACATTGAAGGCAGACGAGGAACTGACAGAAGACCACCATGATGAGGCAATCACGGAATACTTCAATTTTTAAATAAATAACGTGGGTAGCCAGCTTCTCTTGTCACCATACAATGAGGCATAGCATTTAGCAACTTTGAATTATTTCATTTTTATAGTCCCATAAATCATTTATTATTAGGCTGACCTACCCTCTGATGGTGATCATTGCGTGTTGAGTATTATATTATTTGGTGGAGAATGAGACAAAGCGACCAAAGAATACATTCACTAGTAACATCAACATTAGAGACGTCAAGACTCAAACCATCTTGGCAGCTACCAAGACGCGAAATGAATAAAATGATGCTCTCTGGATGTTTCTTGAGGTTTGTATCATGTTGCGATAATATAATATCGTATATATGTTCTAACTCTGGTGCGATCAGCCCCTCTTGTCTCAACTCCAATTAGAGCTAGACGAGAATAGCCCTCATTTGATGTCGTTAGAGGATCTCAATCAACTCTGCATCAAACACAAGATTGAGGGGATGGTGACCACGAATATCAAGGGAGAGTTGGTTATACCTCCAAGCAATTTCTACAGACTACGATTACGCTTTGGGCTCAATTCATTCGTTATTAGAGACAACATCAAATACCTACCTGTAACTATCGTCGTGTTTACTATTCACATTGTCACATATTAATCATGTTCCATTTCATCTCATGTTGTTGTTGCTAATCACAATCTACCTTTACATTGTCATCATTCGTTTGATTCAATCTACACTTCATTATTAATGCTATGTTATCATTTGTATTGCTAAGCTCATTCACAAACCATCGATACAAGTTGACACATGTGACTCGGATTCAAAAGATCGTGATTCCATRTAWGTTAACTTATCAGAAGTGTTTGACTCGGCACTCAACTGACTAACCTCTACCATAATGACCAGTGACCTTGTTTCTGTATCGTCTGACGATAATGATATTGGTGGTGGTGGTGGTGATTATCCACTAGAGCAGGATCAAGATAGCATTGGAGATGACTATTATAGTCAACCTTTCACTCCAATGACGTTGGACGAGCCTTGCCATCCTCAAAAGATGTTTATCGACAGTGAACTAGGGAGACCGATTGATACAACAACAACAACAACAACAACAACAACAACAACAACAACAACAACATCCACTCATCATCTGCATGGTACGTACCTCTCACTCAATCAATCAATCAATCAATCAATCAATCAATCAATCAATCAATCTACAAATATATATTAATCAAACATACTAACATTCATGTTCGACACAGATGGTTGTTGTAGTGATATAAGCAGCTGTAGGAGTTCGATTGATACCACAACAACAACAACATCAACAACAACAACAACAGGAGATGACCAAGCAAAGCTCAAAGAACTGCAGAGTAGGATTCTCGATCTCGAGAGCGTGATTGAGCTACTCAAATCTACACCCAAGGTTGATATCATTGGAAAGTTAGAGTCACTCAATGGCCCCAAAGCCAAGTGGTACAAGAGTGAGATTGGGAAGGATGGACTCTTGTTCCATCTGGGATATCAGGTATGTGCCATTTAAATCGTTGTGCCGTTGTTGTTGTGGAGTCTGTTCTAACCATGTTTCGTTTAGGGTGATATCCAATTCAGTATTGATGAACTATTCAGTCAGGTGGACTTTGAAACAGTCGTTCAATGGGCAAACAAGACGTATCCATCGATCAAAGAACGCACAGGTTCCATTGTACGCAACATCAACACAACCAAACAAGCAACCGAATCAAACGAGAAGAAGAAGAAGAAGAGTCATCCCTGTGATGGGTTGTCAAAGAGGGACTATATCAAGTACGCTTGTCTTGTGGAAGGACGGCAGGTCAATGGCGAAGGTGGTGTCTACGGTATCTACTCTGATTCGAACTACTATGCCTGTGATCTTGGAACCGAGACCAGCAATAGAATGGCCAAAGGGTACCGCCGATGTGACAAGTGTCTCCGATTATCAAGGAAGATCTACCAATCTATCAATAGGGCCCAGACCAGGGGCTACATCGAGATATCATACCCCTCTGTCACGGACCCAGCTGATACACCAAAGGACAGCGACGCCTC